CCGTTTCTTTTCCTGAATGTCAGGGCCATGTTTCCTCGCAGCTTATGCTTCAGTGGCCTCCCCACACCATCCTGGCTGCTCCCTGGGTTTGCCATGTCTGTTCCTTTGTCCCTTCCGCCAGACTCTGCTTGGGAGACGGAGTCCTGTGTCTCTAAACAGCTCTACCTTGGCTCCTGCCTTAAGATTTCCTTAGGATTGAGTGTCGTGGGACAGTTGCAGGGTGTCACAGCTGTCTTGTGTAATTCAGGGACTCCTTATCTGAAGTTCTGGAGGTTTCAGCACACGTTAGGATTTGAATGGAGATGGAAGAGGCTGATCTTTTCTTTTTCAACTTTTTTTTTTTTTAATTGGAAAGGCAGATTTACAGAGAGAAAGAGAGACAGAGAGAGGAAAATCTTTCATCCACTGGTTCACTCCCCAAGTGGCCGCAAGGGTCAGAGCTGAGCCGATCTAAAGTCAGGAGCCAGAAGCTTCTTCTGGATCTCCCACATGGGTCCAGGGTCCCAAGGCTTTGGTCCATTCTCTGCTTTCCCAGGCTGCAAGCAGGGAGCTGGAAGGGAAATAGAGCAGTTGGGAAATGAACTGGCACCCATTTGGGATTCTGGAGCATGCAAGGCGAGGACTTTAGCCACTAGGCTACCACACTGGGCCCATGATCTTACATTTTACTTTAGGTTAGAGCTAGGGGGTTGGGGTTTGAGACTTGCTTAGGAAATAACGTTTGCATTCCAGAATCACCCAACAGGTTTGCTATGTGGATGAGAAAGATTGCAGATTAGGAAGTGCTGAAGGGAGTGGAGAAGGACCTGTTTGGCAGGGATGCCAAGGCCAGGGCTGGTGGGTGTATGGCATGGGGTGGGGTCTCTGCTTCCCAAGGTGTTATGCAAGAAGTCCCTCTTGGAGAGAAAAGTGTGTCTGTTTAAGATTTATTAAAAAATAATAAAGATTAGTTTTGTTGGAAAGACTGAGAGAAGCAGAGACAAAGAGAAAAGATCTTCCATCTGCTGGCTCACTCCCCACATGGATATGATGGCAAACAAAGCCAGGAGCCAGGAGTTCTTCTGGATCCCCCACGTGGGTGCAGGATCCATAGGCCTTCGGCTGTGTCCGCTGCTTTCTCAGGCTGCACGCAGGGAGCTGGATGGGAAGTGAAGCAGCCGGGAAATGAGTAGGCATTCATATGGGATGCCAGTGGCTGCAGGCAGAGGATTAGTCAGTTGAGCTATGACACCGGGCCCTCTAAAGGTTTTTCTAAAAGAGGGCAAACAGAGACACATGGCTTTTTCTGGGATCCCTCTGAGTGGTGGGGCAGCTGGCCGGCCTGCTTTCCTCCCTGGTAACATGCTGATTTCAGAAAAGGGGACTGCAAGCTAGAAAGGACCGGAAGGGGAATCCCCTGGCTAGGGGCCTGCCCACAGAGCGCGCCTTTGTGGTTACTATGGAAACACGCATAATAGGAACAAAACAGAAACGTTGCCTGGCAACGGAGGAGCCCAAGGTTCATTACACACACAACACTATACGTATCAGGGAACCCCCCTGGTTGCGGTGGGGAGGGAGTGTCATTTCTGGGGAGGCTGGGCTGTCCCGGCCGTCAGTCCTAGAACACAGCTGGCTCTGCCAGTGCGTCTGGAAAGCTGTAGCCTGACTCTGAAGGCCGCAGGAAGAACCGACTGCTCCCTAATCCGGGCAAATACAAGGATTGCCTTTATTTTGACAGAGGCGCCTGGAATGTTTGCCTTGCAATGCTGGGCTGGAAGGGGTGGGTGTGTGGGTGTGTCTGGGGTGGCAGTGTAGGGGACCTCATAGAAAAGATCACTCGCTCAGAGCACAGGCAGGACCTGCAGAGCAGGGGTCAAGGTGCTTTCTCTGCCCTGTCCGCTCCCCGACCCCGGTGTCTGAAGGCAGGGATCCCATCCTGCCAGGTTCCGTACAGGTCTCTGACCCAGAGGCTGGTTACAGGAGTGTTTATGTAGTTACCTAGGAGATCTACCGCGAGGGAACTGCTCCCTGGGGGGCTGATTGCCGGGGGCTGAAAGCTGCTGCGGTGACCAGAGGCTGCACCTGGGCTCGCTCTTTCATCAAGACAGGTTCTCGGTGACTGCTAGGGGTGTGCCAGCTGTGTTAGCCGCTGCCGCAGGCCTGCCCGTGGCACTTGAGTGCTCCTGGGAGCTCTGCCTCTGGTTTTACGGCTTTGGGTTGATCACTAAGCCCTTGGGAGCTCTCTCCCAGGGTGTGTGCGATTAACAAGTTGACATAAAAGTCCTTGCCATTAAGGGAATTTGGGGTGGGGGTGGGAGTGGTGAAGGCTGCAGTGCTGGGCACAGGGAGGAAGGTTGGCACAAGTTTCTGAGTATGTGTGCCTGCAGTTATGCCCTTGCAAACTGCTGAAGGCATTCTGCCTTGTGGGCTGAGGAGGCCTATCAAGGCAGGTCTCCCTCTGAGGTTAGTCTGCAGAATCATGGAGTTTAAAAAATGAAAAAAATTATATTTCGTTTCCTGGGAAGGGAGAGCAAGACAGAGATTAATTTTCCAAGTGTTGGTTCACAGCCCAAATGCCTGTGACAACAAGATGCTGGGCCAGGCTGAAGACAGGGACTGAGAACTCCGTTTGGGTCACCACGTGTGCATAGGAGCAGGAAGTGGCAATGGAAGTGAGCCCATGGGCTCCAATTTGGGGGTGCAGCTGTCCCAAGGAGGGGCTTTGGCTGCTCTACCAAAGACCCACTTACGATTCTGGGCTTTTCAGGGGCAGGGTGGAGGTGACCCCTTCGCTCACCTCCCAGGCTGGAATGGGGATGAGCCAGTCCTCAGAATCACACCCCTAGGTGATCCTGCCATCTCTGATCCCCCCAGACTGAAAGGCCTGGGTGCTCCCTGCTCCAGGTTCTCCCCTAGGCCAGCCTCACCCTCCTGCTGTCTTCTCTGTTGACCAAGAGGATGGCCAGAACAAACAATGGAGAGAGAGGTTGGCTGGGAGCCCAGGACGCTCACCTCTGCTCTTGAGCTCCTGAGGGCCTGCTGGGGCTGCTGCGAAGCACAGAGCCCATGCATCCAGCTGCTCTGTTTTCTGTCCTGCTCCGGCAAGCTCTTCTCTCCAACCGGCGTGTTTGTGGCATCGCTGTGTCCCATCACAGCGAGCTCTCTGAAAACCTGGGTATCAGTCAACACCGGGGACGCTTGCTCTTTCAAGGGGTCAAACGATGATGCATTTTATGAAGTTAAAAAAAAAGCCTTCTAATAAACTGCTAAAAAAGTGGCAACTTTGGGGAGGGAAAGGGACTGGAGTCCAGAAGGATGTAAATGTTTATTTTTTCATTGTTCCTCCTGTGTTGTTTAAATTCTTTGCCATGTGGAAGTATTGATTTTATTGCAAAGAAGGTCAACAAAGTTTATCTGACTGGTAGCATTACAGGCCACTTTATCTGAATCTTATATTTAAGCAACGTTCTTCAAAATGAAGTTAAAATGCAAAAAACCTCTGGTGGAGGAAACAGTTCACTGTTGGTTTGAGTTCTTTGACAGAATCAACAAGTTTTGATTTTTTTTTTTCAACTATGGCAGGTGCTAGGAAAGGGGTACAGAAAAAAAAGGGGGGGGGGGGGAGTTGAGTTTTCCGGACGTCTGGATCTGCCAATGAGCTTGAGCCCTGCGTGTGGAGGGTTGAGTCACATCCCCTTACCTGTGCGTGTGCGTCTGGAAGAGACGCAGAGACAGACAGCGGGAGGCGGAGGCAGAGAGCGCGCTGCTGGCCAAGTCGGCCTTGCCTGTGTCTCCGCATGTCTGTGCCTGTCTACACAGGCGGCTCCACCTTCCTGTGTCCATGACATGGAGTGCCTGCACGTCTGGGGCTCCTCTGCCATCGCTTCCCCCCCACCCCCCCACGGCCTGCCTGCACCCTGTGCCGGTAACTGGACCTGGACACAGCCCCCAGGGCTGGCAGCAGAATTGGCTGACTGCTGAGTATTTTTAGCCTGTAAACATGTTTGCCATTTCAGAGGACAGGGCCGAACTGGTCTCAGCCCCAGCCCACTCCTGAGCCCGCAGAGAAGGGCGCTTTTTGCATGCTCCGAGCCAGGGCCTCTCAGCCCTCCAGCCTGAGGTCTCATTTCCCCTGCATTTGGGAGATGAGGAAGGGAGAATGGTGTGGAGTGGGCAGTGGGGGGCCACCTAGGAGGGAGGGGAAGCCAAGAGGAGTCGTGGGGGAGCAGGCGAAGGGGGTATGTGGCCAGAAGGCTCCTGCACCCCATCATTAAGCCTTTAATAAGATCTCCGTAGTTAGAAGCAGCTGTGGGAATTAGTCGTAAATTGGGAAACTCAGCGTCCTCCATGTGGGGAGGAGGGGGAGGAACTGAGAGAGGGGACCCAGCAGGACCCTAAAGCTCTGGCTCCCGGCCTTGGGGTGAGGGGTGTCTGGTGGCTGCTGGCCTGAGGCCAGTACAGGACTGCACCGTGGTGCCCCTGACTGCTGGACGTGGGGCCTCCTGTGAGAGGGAGGCCCAGAGAGAAGGTGAGAAATGGGCGCGGTACGTGGCACTCGGGAACCGAGGGAGGACTAGGGACCTTGTACAAAACGCAGCAGCCTACTCCGAGGGAAGAAGCCGAGGCCGGGCTGTGGGCCGCGGCTGCATACTCTTGGGTCCCGGCCACTAGCTGAGCTCCTTGGCCCCCTCCTGCAAAATGGGCTGAAGAGCCTTAGGGAGCTTTCAGGAGTTTCTTGCTGAAATCCCACAGAGGCTGGATCCAGACCCAGGACAGGGCAGGGGGCAACGGGCGTGAGGAGCGAGGAGCCGACGCCCCTTGCCCGCAGGCCCCTTCCCGAACCCCTAGCAGTCCAGTCCACTCCCAGGTCCCTCACTGTCGGCCCCACTAGTTCGTCCCAGGCCGGCTCGGGCCCCGCCCGGTCCCGCCCTCTCCCTACGGCTCGGGGCAGACCCGCCCGCTGGAGCCGGAGTTACAAGAGCCGCCTCCGCGCGCGGGGGCCCGGCCACTCGGAGCAGCTCTGCCGCGGGGACTGCACCGCCCGCCCTGCCGGACCCGCCCCGACCCGGGCTCGCCGCCGCCAGCAGCAGCCGTAGCACCGCGACCTCGCGCCCCGCGCCGGCTATGGCTGTGCCCCGGAGCTGAGCGCGCAGGTAGGGGCTCGGAGCGCATCGCGGTGCCATCGGGGGGTCAGGACATCGTGACCCGGTAAGGGAGGTGGGTTGCGGGACTTGGGCGAAGCGCGCGCGCGCGTGTGTGGGCGACACTGTGAGGATTCAGGCAGTTCCAGGCCGGCCGGGCGGTCAAAGGCCTCTAGGGGAGACGACGCGCCGCGCGTGGGGAGTGCAGCGCTGTCTCCAGAGTTGGGGCGCAAGTTGAGCAAAGTTCGAAACTCGTTCTCAAATGCGTTTTGCTCCGCTGCGAATTTCTCTCGAGAGCTGAATGTTGGCTCCGCTGCACTGCCGAGCACCCCACTCCTGGCCTGGAGCCCCCGGTCCCACCCCTTTACTCCTTGGGGCGGTGGTTCTGCGCGCCGCTCCGTTCCTATGCCGTGTTTACTGGACAAGTTTCCGAGCGCGCGGCCACAGTCCCGCGTCCCCGCCCCAGCTTCGCGGCCCAAATCCTTCGGGCCCCGCCCGATTCTGCGATTCTGCCCGGCTTGCCTCTCCCTTTCTCGCTCCTGGCGGCCCCCTCAGCCCTGCAGTTGCCCCGCCCTAATCTTGCCCCTCTGAGTTCCCTGCTCCAGAGAACTCCCTTCTTCCTCCAGGGCCGCGGAGCCTGGAAGTTTGCAGCGCGCCTCCCCGCGGGGTGGGTGGGAGTGGGGACCATAATTAGGGAGATTCCTTCGCTGGGGTGGGCGGGGAGGGGGGCTGTGCAGCCCTCGGGACCGCCCCTTTCCCTCTAGAGGCGGCACTTTCTCCCCCACCCGCTCCCAAACTCGTCCAGGCGGGATGGCCCCCGCCCCAGTGCCTGGCCCGGCGCCAGCAGCCTGAGGAATGTGGTGGTTGGAGCCGGTGACTAATTCAAACCAGAACTCGGGGGGGAGTGGTGAGGGGCAAAGGGGAGGGGAAAGGGGGCCGTGTGGGGGCGGCAAGGGCAGAAGCAGGGCTTGCCGTCGGAGAAGGGCTAAGCTCCCCTCGTTGGAACCGTGCGTCCAGCAGTTGGCGCGCGCCCTTAGAGCGCGGGGGAGCGAGGTCCCGCGGCGGGCTGGAAAGGCAGCGTGCTTAGGGTGTGTGCAGAGAACTGTGTTATGTAAGGCTTTCCCAGGCTGGGAGGGGCGCATAGCGTGCTGGGCTAGGCACCCCCTGTAATGCCAGCGCCGGGTCTGGGGGCTCAGCCCCTGCAGCGGGGTGACCAGGAGAGCATCATGGGGGTCCGAGCAGGGTGGCTGTGCCCGTTTGTGGGAGGGGCCGGTCAGCTCTGAGCCCCGATGGCCAGGTGGGGCACGGTGTGTGCCCCTGAGTTGACAGGGTGTGGCGCTGGCAGTGGGAGGCGAGGGCGAGGTGTTCCTAGGAGGGAGCGTGGGCGCCTCCCCACTCCACAGACTTGGGGTCTTTAGAGAATGACCTGGAGCTTCCGGGAACAGATTCCCGGGTGGGGTCTCACGAAATTGGCTTTGAGAAAGCTTCTTCTCTGTTAAAATCCACCCTCTGAGGGCAGGGGCCCTCTTCGCTGCCAGCTCTGGGCGGAGCACGTGATAGGGGCTGACTTTGATGGGGGAGGTTGTGGCCATAGGGGAATGTCCGGGAATGGCAGGAGGAGGGAGCAATGGCCAGTATGCTGGAAGCTTGAAGGGCCTGTGCAGCTACACTGGTGTGATTGAGGGGAGCAGACCTCCCCTTGGTCCCCGCCCCCAGAAGGAAATCCACGGGGCAGGGTGTGGCACCAATGCTTTCAGAAGCTGCACGGGGAAGCTTCCTTCTTCTGCTGTTGGGGAACACAGGGTAGGTGGAATCGCCAGAGCCGGTGCAGAGCGCGCTCTTGGTGGTGAGTTGAGAGGGTGGGAGAGAACCCCTGAGCTCTGCTGGCTGAGGATAGAGATAGGTGGGAGGTGAGGGGCAGAGCGGGGGCCTTGCCCCTCTGTAAGGCTCTTGTTCCTAGGAGGTTCTGTATGGGGGTGTCGCTTGGAGAGAAAGAACGCACAGCGAATCACAGCTGCTACCCAGGCCTCCTTGAAGGGCTGCCCCACTGTGCCAGGCCCAGGGTGAGCCTAGAGAGAGTGAGCTGGTGCAAGGGAGACCAGTATCGGTCAAGGCTAGGGCATGGCCCGAGTGTGTGTGTGTCTTCTGGGGTCCTCCCAGGCTTGGGGAGGCTCCAGGTAGAGGTGCCTGGGCACCCCCAGACTGGAATGGGCCAGCTGGCCTGGCAGAGCATAGTTCCCCAGGTCTGCTAGCTGGTTTGAGGGGTTGGGGCGAAGCCCGAAGCTGTGGGGGTGGCAGGGTGTGGGTGTGGGGCTCTGGGGTGTGGCTGTACCTTCTGTAGAACTTGGGAACCGCCTGGGGGCAGGCGGAGAGGAGGACTGGGAGAGCTAGTCTGACTCCTAGTTGGGAACTTTGCCTGCTGTCTCTCTTCTCCTGTCCCCCCTGCTTCCTGGACACCCCTGAAGCTCTGTCCCTAAGCTGGGCTGACGCGCGTGCTTGTGCGGAGGTAGGCTGGAGGCAGGGAGGGGCTGCGGCGTGAGAGGCTTCACCTTGGGGCAGGGGCAGCCTCTCTGCTTCTGCTCCCTGCCCTTCCACCAACCTCTGCGTGCAGCTTCGTCCAGCCTCCTGGGAGCTGGCGTTTCCCGCTGCAGTCCCAAGCCTTGCCCAGCGTGGGCAGCTGACCTGACTGTGCAGGGCGGCCTTGGGATCCTCTCAGGGACCATGTCATGGCCTCCGCGTGTCCGGGCAAGGTGTGTTTCACTGCACCCTGGTTGTGCATGGAAGGTCCCTGCCTTGGCATGGGCCTGCCTCTGTGGTGGCCTCTGCCTGTGTCGCAGGGGCTTGGATCTGGCTCCAGAGGTGGTTCTGGTGGTGTGAGTTTCCTGGGGTGTCTGGGGCTGTAAGGGAAGCACCGAGCTCTGAGACAGCCCTGGGAGCACAGGCCCGGCTGAACCAGGCACTGCACACGGCCTGTCTGGGAGGGGCATCCTGCCCGGTCCCCGAGGGGCCGTAGCGGAGGTTCTGGGGGAAGGGGAAGTGCCTGGAGCTGATCCCGGCTACGTGTCCCGGCTGGGCTTAGGGGGGTGGGGGGCGGCTCTTGCGCGACCTGGCCCTGAGCCCCTGCACTGGTGCGGCCTGACCGCCGGGGGGAGCGCGCAGAGCGTCCTCTCGGAGGCTGGCCGTGGGTGGGGCACCCAGGCGGCTCCCACCCAAGCTGTTATCAACCTCCTCTCCCCAGCGCAGGACCGCGTGCCCCTCCGCCCCACCTCCCCTCGCAGAGCTGGCGTCTGAGTGTCAGTGGTCCCCAGGGACTGCACCTCTTCCATGCTGTGTCTCCAGGGGTGGGGACTTACCGCAGGGCTCTGACTCCAGGAGCGGGGGACATTCCCTTCTGGCCAGGAGAAGCCGAGGGGCTCTCCCTCCCTTCTGGAAAGTGAGAAGTTGGCGTTCTGGGGCTCGGAGCTGGCTTGTGAGGGGGAGGGAGAAGCGGTGTGCCACCAGGATAGAAGAGTGGAGAAAGTGGCCTGCTGGGGGTGGGGGACTGAGTGGAAGGTGTTTCCCTGGAGGTTAAACTGCTGAGGAGCTCATCTCCTGTCTCCTGGGCGGAGGGCTGTAGTGGGAGGGCTTCCTCCTGGTGGGGGCAGTGGGCTGGGGTCAGCACCTAAGGGCAGGTAGCAGGGAGGGAGCCTGACGGGTGCATGCGCGCGCACACACACACACACACACACACACACACACACACACGGAGGTGCAGGTCCCAGGTAGAGGGGCCTTGTGACAGGTGTGTACTGGGCCCTGGTGAGGACTGGGGCTGTGGGCCGGCTCTCGGCTGGTACCCCTGCCCCCTGAGGTCTGTGTGTGTTTGGTTTTACACTCAAGGTTGCTGTCAGAGCTTAGCACGTTGCAATTGTGGCATTTTTGGGGGCCCATGGCCGGCTTAGGTCTGGGAAGAGGGCAAGGCCCCTGTTTTTCTGGGAGGAGGGTTGCCTGTCCTGACCCCCTGATATCCCCTAGGGAGTGTTCGGGTTCGTCCTGCCGGATGGGTGCCTGCCTCTAGAGTGAGTGGTGCTATGGAAGGGGGTGACTGTCTCCCACCTGTTGGGGTCCCAGAGACATTTAGAGGTGAGCTGGGGTCTATGCGGCTCAAGGTCCCTGGTGTGAACCCCCGAGTTCCAAGGCCTCCCCTCAGATACGGAGTCCGGATTGCTAGGCTGGTATATTTTGGGGTTGACAGGATAGTTGCGGAGGAAGAGGGTCTCAGCCTGCGAACCCTCCCCACGGGTGTGTCCCTCCTCTGTCCATCTGCGCCACCCCCGCCATGTAGATCTCACTTCTGCATTATCTGCCATGTACATCTTTCTCTGTGGGTTCTCGGGGCTGTCATCCTGTGTCTGCCTTCACTTGTGCCGGTGTCACTTGACCTGGGTGAAGACTGTTGGCAGTGCAGAGAGAACTCCGGGCTTGCCTCGCAGCTCGGTCTCACAGCCCGGGCGAGGGGTCTTGCCTCCGTGGCTCAGGGCCAAGGGTTGTTTGGGGGCTGCATTGGAGTGCAGTGCCAGCACAGGCCCGAGTGGTGAATCCTGTCTTCTCCACGTGGTGGGGGCTCAGCGGGAGGGTGTGGCTTTCTCTTCCTCTTGGCCACCTGGCCGGCAGCACCCTGCTGGGTGTGTCTCTGTTCTTTGACAAGCCCAGTGCTGTGTCTGGTTATGAGGGTTCAGGGCTCCCCCCTCGCCCCACCCTGACTCCCCCCGTGGAGGTCTCTAATTCTGGGATGAGTCATTTCGTTCTTGGGGTGGGGCTTGCCTCCCTGAACGTGTGTGTGTGTGTGTGTGTGTGTGTGTGTGTGTGTGTGTGGTGGGCCGGTTGGTGTGTGTGTGTGCTGCTGAGGAAGCTCGCCCTTGGGGTGTTGCCTCCCATGTCCAGCCTATGTTCACCCCTGTCAGGCGTGTCCTCTGTTGGGGTCTGAGGTGCACGTGGAGTGTGGGTGTTAGCTCCTATTGTTCTGACGCTGCATGTGAGCCGCCTGCAGCCATCGGCCTGGACTGCCACCCTGGCTGCCTTCACACTTCTGGCTTTGGAGTCTGAGGAAGGCTCTGCTCCCTGAAGGCAGTGGAGGAAGGATGTCTTGCTGGAGGTCAGCCCTGGCACAGGCCTGGCAGGGGCCTGTCTTCCTGGGGCGGGGCGTTTCCGGGATCTGCTGGCTGTTGCCCTCGGATTTGGCTAGAGTCCTGTGGCCCGCACATCCTCTGTGGTTTTGAGTGGCATGGTGGCCAGGTCATCGTTGCTGCTTTGGTGCAGCTGGCCTGGCCTCGCTGTCTCATTCCTGCTTTGGGGTTTGGGGCTTCCCTTTGCTCCTGCCTGTCGTGGTTGTGAGCCAGTGTCATTGGGTCCTGGCGCTGGCAGCTGGGAGAACCTCACTGCTCCCACTCTCGCGTCCCTGGACTGGCAGTGCTGACCTGGAGTGTGGTCTGTAGCGGGAGAATCTACCTCCATGCTGACTGGTGCCATGTGCCAGCAGGTGCACCTGGCTGCTGGGCTTCTAGGATCGCAGTGAACTGGCACTTCAGCGTCATGTACATCGAAGAGCCATGTGTGGCTCAGCTTGGGATGGCACGACCCTCAGATCCCTTCTCACTCTGAAGGCTTATGACGTTTGGCTGTGTTGTAATGTTTGGCTGGCTGGCTGGGGCAGAAATCCCCAAGGTGCTGAAGACAGACCCCCCCCCCCATCTTTTGGATGGCAGCAGGAAGCTTGGCCTAACATAACCCGTGTGGGAGGGGCTTGGTGCAGGCTGCAGGGGCCAGCCCTGCCTCACCTCTTCTATCTGCGTCCCCACACCTGTAGTTGGAATGGAGGGGCCCGGGGCAGCTGAGAGGGGAGCCTATGGTGGCTGTGCCAGAGTAGCAGAGTAGGCAAGGGGCACTTAGCAGTCTCACCCGACTGGGAAGCCATTGAGTGCCCGGTTGAGGCCAGTCTGCAGCCTGGCTTGGGTCCAGTGGCTCCTGATGGGGAAGCCCCTCAGGTCCCTGGAGGTGCAACCCCAGTGGCCCTCTGTGGATCCTGGCTCTAGGTGTGATTCCCTGCGTGTCTGGAGCCGCTGCAGCAGGGCTGCTGTGACTCACCAGGGAGGGTGGGGCCGACATGTGGGTGGGGATGAGCTGACTGCTCATTCCCTTCGGAGCCGCCTGCTGCTGGCTCAGCACTAGGGTGCTGGGCCCAGAAAAGGGGCCTCCGTGCAAGGAGGAACAAGGGTGCCAGGGCCACCTGCAGGGCTGCTTCGTGCCTTGTGTCTTGTCTGCAGGCCTGGACTCTCGGAGAAGGTACCACTCAAGTGATTCACCCTGGGTAGGATCACCATGCCTTCGTGCCCTGGCCTCTTCTGATGGCTGGGAAGGGAGATGGTTCTCACACCTGCGCCAACAGGCCAGCCACTCCTCAGGGTCTGATCGGCTAAGGCACTCGGTGAATGGTGTAGCCATGAGTTGGTCGAAGGGGGGACAGATGTTGGTGAGGGGTGTCTGTGTGTCAACTACTCAGAGCCATGAACTTCCAGGAGAGGCTGAGGCTCACACCTTCAAGGGCCTGTTCGTATTTCATTCTCCCTGGAGGTCTCAAAAGCCTTCTGGAACATTTGGGGGGCTAAATAGGTCACACCTAAAATACCTTGGTGGTTTCCATCTGGCATCTGGGTCTTTGAATGCCTCCTCTGGCACATGTGTGTGTGTTGGATCAGCTTAGAATGCATGGTAGTATTTGGTGAGACCCTGCCATGGGGTAGAATTGGTGCCAGGCTGCTGTTTCTGCCCCTGCCTCTGCAGTGGCTGTGCCAGAGGCCAGCAGGGTGCCTGCTTAAGTGATGAGTTGACTGAGGTCTGGTTGGGGCCGGGGTGAGGCCCTCAGGATTTGATAGTGGCCCCCACATGATTCCGCAGACTTGCTGTGGATGGCTGCCGCCGCCATTTCATGTGGCTGGCTGCAGGCCCGCCCATGCCCAGAGCCCTGCCTTCTGTCTTCCCAGGGTGCCGCTGTAGCTGCTGACAGCTCATCCTGCAGCCAGGGGGCATCTTCACCTGTGGGCACCTGGCTCAGGGCCGATGTGGTGCAGCCAGATGGTCGTTGACTCACCACTTGCCTGAAGTGGGTGGAGGCTCAGCTGTACTCTGGCCTTGGGCTTCTGTTTGCAGCTGGTGGCCAGGCTCTGCTGCGCCCCCGCCCTGGCCTTCAGGGGCATTGGTTGTCACAGGGGAGAGGGCAGGCCAGGGAACGTGATGAACAGTGGCAGCCCTGGCATGGGCCAGGGCAGAGTTGTGGTTGCAGCTCCCAGGCTCGCTTTGTTGCCTTCTTCCCATGGGTCTCATCAGTCTGACCATCTGTGAAATGGGGGCAGTACTGGCCCTCCCCCAGAGCCGCCTTGGAGAAGCAAAGCAGGGCATGTATCCTGTGGGCTCCTGGGGCCCGCCATGTTTAACCCTGTGGTATCTTTTCTCTCCTCCTCACTTGCTGAAATCCTTGGTCCGGTCCATTCTCCCTGGAGTGGCGGGGCTTTGGCCTGGCTTGGTGGGGGTGTGGCCTAGCCCACTGCCCAGTGTGAGCAGCTGTGAACTCTTCTCTAGGCTGTGACGGAGTCTCCTGACAAGAGTGGCTGAGGGAAGAGAGGAGGGGCGGGCTCCCGGCAAGGCCTTTGTTCCTGAGCCAAGTCCTGCAAAGGTCAGTGTGTGTGTGTGTGTGTGTGTGTGTGCGCGCGCGCATGCGCATGGAGGTGGGGAGGCAGACCCTGGGCCTGGGATGGCTGGGACGGGAAGGGACTCTCCTGGACATTCAAAGCACCACGCATCTCTGGCTGGCTGGCTTTTTGTATTTAAAAAAGTTCTGTTTATTTTTTTCTTATTTGAAAGGCAGATTTACAGAGAGAAGGAGAGTCAGAGTTCCAAGTGGCTGTGGTGGCCAGAGCTGAGCTGATCTGAAGCCAGGAGCCAGGAAAATCTTCTGGGTCTCCTACACGGATCTTTCTTTGGGCCATCCTCTACTGCTTTTCTAGGCTACAAGTAGGGAGCTGGAAGGAAAGTGGAGTAGCCGGGACACGAACTGGCGCCCTTATGGGATTCTGGCTCTGCAAGGCAGATTAACCTGCTTAGCCACTGGGTTAGGGCCTACTTGCTTTTTTTTTTTTTAAATAAGATTTATTTATTTATTGTCTTTTAAAGATTTATTTCTTTTTATTGCAAAGTCAGGTTTACAGAGAGGAGAGACAGAGAGAAAGATCTTCTGTCTTATGATTCGGCCTCAATGGCTGGAGCTAAGCCGATCTGAAGCCAGGAACCAGGAACTTCCTCCAGATCTCTCACACGGGTGCAGGGTCCCAAAGCATTGGGCCGTCCTTGACTGCTTTCCCAGGCCACAAGCAGGGAGCTGGATGGGAAGTGGAGCTGCTGGGATTAGAACTGGTGCCCATATGGGATCCCGGCGCGTTCAAGGGGAGGAATTTAGCTGCTAGGCCACACCGCCAGGCCCGCCCCCCTTTTTAAAAAGTTTGTATATTTTCACTTTTTTGAAAGGCAGAGAAATAAGAAGGATGAACAAAATCTTTCATCTGCTGATTAGCTCCCCAGATGTTTTGGCTGGGAGCTGGGTCTCTCCCACGTTGAGTAGCAGGAACCCCAGTCCCGGAGGAACCTGCACTGTTGCGTCCCAGTGTGTGCGTTAGCAGCCGCTCGGGTACAGCATGCGGCCATCCCTGGCAGCTGTGTCCCTCAGCTAGATGACCATGGCTCCTGGCTTTCCATCTCCGCTCACAAGACCTGTGTTTCCTTGCCTCGCCTCAGATGGAGAAGGAGGAAGACACAACCCGGGAGCTGCTGCTGCCCAACTGGCAGGGCAGCGGCTCGCACGGACTGACCATCGCTCAGCGGGATGATGGCGTCTTTGTGCAGGAAGTGTTGCAGAACTCCCCTGCGGCCCGCACTGGGGTGGTCAAGGAGGGTGAGTCTCCTCAGGCTGTGGACTGGGTGCCAGGGGGGGGGAGTGGATGCAGAGAGGAGGGCACAAGTGTGGGAGAGGCTGTGGCGGGTATGGCCGCAGCAGCCCCAAAGCTGGCCCTGTTCTCCGGTGCTCGCTCTGTGTCACTGTCTTGGCTCGAGGGGGAGTGGAGACCTAGATCCTAGATCTAGCTCTCCCAGCCGTTGCCGCTGTGGTGTTGGGCAAATCAGTTGCCCTTTCTGAGCCTCACTTGTCTCATCAATGCCGTGGGTATGATAGACTGATGTGGCAGGGGGGGTCATGAGGGATAAAGAGACCTCAGCTCCGGTGCCCAGCTCGTGGGGGCTGTGGGCTTTTGTCCTGAGATACTGTGCTTCTGGCTCCTTCCTGCTCAGGGGACCAGATTGTGGGTGCCACCATCTACTTTGACAACCTGCAGTCGGGTGAGGTGACCCAGCTGCTGAATACCATGGGCCACCACACCGTCGGCCTGAAGCTGCACCGCAAGGGGGACCGCTCCCCAGAGCCCGGCCAGATCTGGACCCAGGAAGTTTTCAGCTCTCGCAGCTCCGAGGTAGTTCTGGTGAGTACCTGGCGCCTGCCCAGAGCCCCGTGTGTGCCTGACCATGCTGGTTTGTTCAGCCTCCTCTCTGTCAACTCCTCCTCCCCCTTTTGGCTCTCGGCATGCTCTGGAGCCCTTGGCCAGCCTGTGTTTCCTACTGCCATGATTCAGGTGTGGCGTGGAGCTGATGCTGGCCTCCTGAGAGTGTCCCTGCGGGACAGTGCTGGCTCTACTGGTCTGGGCCCAGAGCTAGGACAGCCAGCTGCTTTGCAAGGTTGCTCAGGGCTGCCTCTGCCTTGCAGGCTCCGAGTTCTCCCTCCAGATGCCCGAGATCCTTCTGTGAGGTGGAGGGTGGGCGACAGATGCTACAGGGACACTCTGATGGCCCCATGTAGTTCATAAAGATGGTCCTGCAAGAGCAGGTGTGGTCCTGGCACGGCCAGGCTGTCAGGCCCAATGGGTGCTTCCCAGTGTGTGACATCCCTGGGAGGCCCCTCATGGTGAGTTAAGAGTTGAGTGTGAAGGGTCTAGCTGGAATGTTCCTGCAGCATGCTGGCTTGATTTCTCTTGTGAGGGATTGCAAATCCTTCTCCCAGCCTGCACAGACCACGAATCTATACTCCATGCCCATCTCCACCAGAGTTTACCCCCAGACCACTTGTTTTCCTTTGGTGATGTGGTTCTCAGCCCCTTTGTGGCCTGCCGCAGGAGACTCCCAGAGCTCCTCTGAGTCGGTCTGAGCTTCACCATGCAGCCGGCTGGGCTGGCTGGGCGTCTGGTGACTTAGGAGGCTCCTGCTGCAACCTGTGCCGGGCCTGTCTTTCTGCAGAGCGGGGATGACGAGGAGTACCAGCGCATCTACACCACCAAGATCAAACCTCGGCTCAAGTCGGAGGATGGAGTGGAAGGGGATCTGGGGGAGACCCAGAGCCGCACCATCACAGTGACCAGGAGGGTCACGGCCTACACCGTGGATGTGACCAGTCGCGAGGGAGCCAAGGACCTCGACATCAGCAGCCCTGAGTTCATGATCAAGGTTCCGAGGCACGAACTGACTGAAATCTCCAATGTGGACGTGGAGACCCAGCCGGGGAAGACAGTGATCAGATTGCCCTCGGGCTCAGGGACCGTCTCTCAAATCACAGGCTCTGCCGTGGACATCCGGCCAGGGACCGTTCACACTTCGGGACCAGAGCTCCAAGGCGCTGGCCACTCGAAGCTCCAGGTCACTGTGCCAGGGATAAAGGTGGGGAGCCCGGGCGTGAGCGTCAGCACTCAGGGCTTTGACCTGGGGGGCAGAGGAGAGGTCCAAGTTCCGAGTGTGGATGTTTCGACTTCTCTTGTGGGTGGGGCAGGAGAGGTGCAGGGCCCAGCTCTTGAGGGTGGTGTTGGTGGAAAAATCAAAATTCCCACCATGAAGGTACCAAAATTTGGAGTCTCGACAGGACTCAAGGGCCAGGCACCAGAGGCAGGGCTGAATATTTCTGCTCCTGAGTTCTCCGTGGGGCACAAGGGTGGCAAGCCCGGCTTATCCACTGGTGGGAGCATCCAGGCCCCTCAGCTGGAAGTCAGTGCCAATGTGGAGGGGTTTGAGGGGAAGCTGGAGGGCTACCAGGTCACTGGGCCATCACTTGAGGGTCGTGGAGGTCTAAAAGGTGCCAAGTCCCAGGGGAGCATACAGGTGGAGGCCTCTGTTCCCCAAGTTGAAGGCTGTCTCACCAGCCCCAATGTACAAGTTCAGGCCCCTGACCTTGATGTTCGTGGGCATGGGGGCAAACTGAATATGCCCAAGATGAAACTTCCCAAGTTTTCTGTGTCAGGCTCAAAGGGAGAGGAGGCTGGCCTTGATGTGACACTAGCCTCGGGTGGAGTGACTCTCCCTGGGGTCTCTGGAGAAGTCAGTCCACCTGAGGTAGCTGTTGGTGGGCTAGAAGGGAAAATGAAGGGTGGTGCCAAAGTCAAGACTCCTGAAATGATTATTCAGAAACCAAAAATTTCCATGCAGGATGTGGACCTGAGCCTTGGGTCTCCTAAGCTGAAAGGGGATGTGAGCATTTCTGTCCCAGGAGTGCAGGTGCAAAGTGATGTGAAAAGCCCTCAGGTGGCTGTGAAAGGCTCCAAAATGGACATAGAGATGCCAAGCCTAGAAGGGAGCTTGACAGGCCCCAAGTTTGGCAGTCCTTCTGGGAAAACAGGAAGCTGTAGGATCTCTATGGCAGATGTAGACTTAAATGTGGCTGCACCTAAAGGGAAAGGGGGTGTGGATGTCACTCTCCCCAAGGTAGAAGGGAACATCAGAGGTCCTGATGTTGATGTCAGTATGCTGGACGTGGAAGCTCACGGCCCAGAATGGAATCTGAAGATGCCCAAGATGAAATTGCCTAAGTTCAGCACTCCAGGACTCAAAGGGGAGGGTCCAAACGTAGCTGTGACTCTACCCAAAGGAGATGTTAGTGTTTCAGGGCCCGAGCTCAGTGTGGAAGCCCCGGATGTCAATATGCAGGGAGTGGGGGGCCACGTTAAAGGCCCTGATATTCAGCTGCCTGAAGTGAGTGTCAAATCACCAGAGATCTCTGTGCCTGATGTAGATGTACGGGCTAAAGGTGGGAAGCTAAAGGGAGAGTATGATGTAGCAGTGCCAAAACTAGAAGGGGAACTGAAAGGCCCCAAAGTGGACATTGATGCTCCAGATGTGGACGTTCATGGCCCAGATTGGCACCTGAAGATGCCCAAGATGAAAATGCCCAAGTTCAGCGTGCCAGGCTTCAAAGGCGAGGGCCCCGAAGTGGACGTGAACCTGCCCAAGGCTGATGTGAACATTGCCAGGGCTGAGGCTGATGTTCATGTTCCAGATGTGAGAGTTGAAGGACCAGAAGGGAAATTGAAGGGCTCCAAGTTCAAGATGCCTGAGATGAATGTCAAGGCTCCTAAGATCTCCATACCTGATGTGGACTTACATCTGAAAGGACCTCATGTGAAGGGAGAATATGATGTCAGCAAGATGGAAAGTGAGATCAAAGTACCTGATGTTGAACTTAAAAGTGCCAGAGTGGACATTGATGCTCCAGATGTGGACGTTCATGGCCCCGACTGGCACCTGAAGATGCCCAAGATGAAAATGCCCAAGTTCAGCATGCCTGGCTTCAAAGGCGAGGGCCCTGAAGTGGATGTGAACCTGCCCAAGGCTGACATTGATGTGTCAGCACCCAAGGTGGACATTGAAGGCCCTGATGTGAGCCTTGAAGGTCCAGAAGGAAAGTTGAAGGGTCCCAAGTTCAAGATGCCAGAGATGAACATCAAAGCCCCCAAGATCTCCATGCCTGATGTGGATGTGCATATGAAAGGTCCTAAGGTAAAAGGAGAATACGATGTTACAGTGCCAAAGATAGAGGGTGACCTCAAAGCTCCACAAGTAGATGTCAGCGCCCCAGATGTTGAAGTTCATGGTCCTGATTGGAACCTGAAGATGCCGAAAATTAAGATGCCCAAATTCAGTATGCCTAGCCTCAAGGGCGAGGGCCCAGAATTGGATGTGAACTTCCCCAAAGCTGATTTGGACATTTCAGCACCAAAGGTAGACCTTACTGCTCCAGATATGAGCCTTGAAGGACCAGAAGGGAAACTGAAGAGCCCCAAGTTTAAGATGCCTGAGATGCACTTCAAGGCTCCAAAAATGTCACTACCAGACGTTGACATGGATCTTAAAGGGCCCAAAATAAAAGGGAACCTCGATGTGTCAGCACCAAAACTAGAGAGTGATATAAAAGTTCCAGAGGTGGATGTCAAAGGACCTAAAGTAGACATTAACGCCCCAAATATGGAAGGACATGGCCCAGACTGGCACCTGAAGATGCCCAAGATGAAAATGCCCAAGTTCAGCATGCCTGGCTTCAAAGGCGAGGGCCCTGAAGTGGATGTGAACCTGCCCAAGGCTGACATTGATGTGTCAGCACCCAAGGTGGACATTGAAGGCCCTGATGTGAGCCTTGAAGGACCAGAAGGAAAGTTGAAGGGCCCCAAATTCAAGATGCCAGAGATGAACATCAAGGCTCCCAAGATCTCCATGCCTGATGTGGAATTCAAAGGCCCTAGTGTCAAAGGAGATATGGATGTGTCACTTCCCAAAATAGAAGGTGAAATGAAAGTGCCAGATGTTGACATCAAAGGCCCCAAAGTGGACATTGATGTCCCTGATATGGAGGCTCGTGGCCCAGACTGGCACCTGAAGATGCCCAAGATGAAAATGCCCAAGTTCAGCATGCCTGGCTTCAAAGGCGAGGGCCCTGAAGTGGATGTGAACCTGCCCAAGGCTGACATTGATGTGTCAGCACCCAAGGTGGACATTGAAGGCCCTGATGTGAGCCTTGAAGGACCAGAAGGAAAGTTGAAGGGCCCCAAATTCAAGATGCCAGAGATGAACATCAAGGCTCCCAAGATCTCCATGCCTGATGTGGAATTCAAAGGCCCTAGTGTCAAAGGAGATATGGATGTGTCACTGCCCAAAGTGGAAGGTGAAATGAAAGTGCCAGATGTTGACATCAAAGGCCCCAAAGTGGACATTGATGTCCCTGATATGGAGGCTCGTGGCCCAGACTGGCACCTGAAGATGCCCAAGATGAAAATGCCCAAGTTCAGCATGCCTGGCTTCAAAGGTGAGGGCCCTGAAGTGGATGTGAACCTGCCTAAGGCTGACATTGATGTGTCAGTACCCAAGGTGGACATTGAAGGCCCTGATGTGAGCCTTGAAGGTCCTGAAGGGAAACTGAAAGGGCCTAAATTCAAGATGCCAGAGATGAACATCAAGGCTCCCAAGATCTCTATGCCTGATGCTGATCTCAATCTGAAGGGACCCAAGCTAAAGGGTGATGTGGATGTAACTTTGCCTCATGTAGAAGGTGAGATGAAAGTGCCAGATGTTGATATCAAAGGCCCTAAAGTGGACATTGATGTTCCTGATGTGGATGGTCGTGGCCCGGACTGGCACCTGAAGATGCCCAAGATGAAAATGCCCAAGTTCAGCATGCCTGGCTTCAAAGGCGAGGGCCCTGAAGTGGATGTAAAACTGCCCAAGGCTGACATTGATGTGTCAGCACCCAAGGTGGATATTGATGTTCCTGCTCTGAATGTTGAAAGTCCAAATGTGAAAATTAAGGGTCCCAAATTTAAGATGCCAGAGATGAATATAAAGCCTCAGAAGATTTCCATGCCAGATGTTGGCTTGAGTTTCAAAGGTCCCAAAGTGAAAGGAGACCATGATGTAACAATTCCAAAAGTAGAAGGTGAGCTTAAAGCTCCTGATGTTGACATCAAAGGCCCCAAAGTGGACATTGATGCTCCAGAGGTTCATGGCCCAGACTGGCACCTGAAGATGCCCAAGATGAAGATGCCCAAGTTCAGCATGCCTGGCTTCAAAGGCGAGGGCCCTGAAGTGGATGTGAACCTGCCCAAGGCTGACATTAGTGTCTCAGCACCCAAGGTGGATGTGGACATTGAAGCCCCAGAAGGGAAACTCAAGGGCCCCAAGTTCAAGATGCCAAGTATGAATATACAGACACATAAAATCTCTATGCCCGATGTTGGACTTAATCTAAAAGGCTCGAAAGTGAAAACTGAGGTAGACGCTTCCCTCCCCAAGGTAGAAGCAGATTTGAAAGTTGCAGAAATTGATGTTAAAGCCCCTAAAATGGAAGTGGATGTTGGTGATATTGATATTGAGGCCCCAGGAGGAAAGCTGAAAGGCCCCAAGTTCAAGATGCCAGACATGCACTTCAAGTCTCCCAAGATCTCTATGCCTGATGTGGACTTGAATCTGAAGGGCCCGAAAGTGAAAGGGGATATGGATGTGTCTGTGCCAAAACTGCAAGGTGAGCTTAAAGCTCCTGAAGTAGACATCAAAGGCCCCAAAGTGGACATTGATGCTCCAGATGTGGACGTTCATGGCCCCGACTGGCACCTGAAGATGCCCAAGATGAAGATGCCCAAGTTCAGCATGCCTGGCTTCAAAGGCGAGGGCCCTGAAGTGGATGTGAACCTGCCCAAGGTTGACATTGATGTGTCAGCACCCAAGGTGGACATTGAAGGCCCTGATGTGAGCCTTGAAGGGCCTGAAGGAAAGTTGAAGGGCCCCAAATTCAAGATGCCAGAGATGAACATCAAGGCTCCCAAGATCTCCATGCCTGATGTGGAATTCAAAGGCCCTAGTGTCAAAGGTGATGTAGATGTGTCACTACCCAATGTGGAAGGTGAGCTTAAAGCTCCTGAAGTAGACATCAAAGGCCCCAAAGTGGACATTGATGCTCCAGATGTGGATGTTCATGGCCCAGACTGGCACCTGAAGATGCCCAAGATGAAAATGCCCAAGTTCAGCATGCCTGGCTTCAAAGGCGAGGGCCCTGAAGTGGATGTGAACCTGCCCAAGGCTGACATTGATGTGTCAGCACCCAAGGTGGACATTGAAGGCCCTGATGTGAGCCTTGAAGGACCAGAAGGAAAGTTGAAGGGCCCCAAGTTTAAGATGCCAAAGTTTAATATCAAAACTCCTAAGTTATCCATGCCAGATGTGGACTTGAATTTGAAAGGACCTAAGCTGAAAGCAGAGATAGATGCTTCTTTACCAGATCTGGAAGGAGATCTGACTGGTCCTCAGGTTGATTTGAAAGGTCCCAAGGTGGATGTCTCCATGCCTGATGTTGATCTGGAATGTCCTGATGCAAAGTTGAAAGGCCCCAAGTTCAAGATGCCAGACATGCACTTCAAGACTCCCAAGATCTCTATGCCTGATGTGGACTTACACATGAAAGGACCCAGTGTCAAAGGGGATATGGATGTGTCTGTGCCAAAACTAGAAGGTGATTTGAAAGGTCCCAAGGTGGATGTCTCCATGCCTGATGTTGATCTGGAATGTCCTGATGCAAAGTTGAAAGGCCCCAAGTTCAAGATGCCAGACATGCACTTCAAGACTCCCAAGATCTCTATGCCTGATGTGGACTTACACTTGAAGGGGCCAAAAGTGAAAGGAGATGTGGATGTGTCACTGCCCAAAGTGGAAGGTGAAATGAATGTACCAGATGTTGATATCAAAGGCCCCAAAGTGGGCATTGATGTCCCAGATGTGGACGTTCGTGGTCCCGACTGGCACCTGAAGATGCCCAAGATGAAAATGCCCAAGTTCAGCATGCCTGGCTTCAAAGGTGAGGCCCCTGAAGTAGATGTGAACCTGCCCAAGGCTGACATTGATGTGTCAGCACCCAAGGTGGACATTGAAGGCCCAGATGTGAGCCTTGAAGGACCTGAAGGAAAGTTGAAGGGTCCCAAGTTCAAGATGCCAGAGATGAACATCAAGGCTCCCAAGATCTCCATGCCTGATGTGGACTTACACATGAAAGGACCCAGTGTCAAAGGGGATATGGATGTGTCTGTGCCAAAACTTGAAGGTGACTTGAAAGGTCCCAAGGTGGATGTCTCCATGCCTGATGTTGATCTGGAATGTCCTGATGCAAAGTTGAAAGGCCCCAAGTTCAAGATGCCAGACATGCACTTCAAGACTCCCAAGATCTCTATGCCTGATGTGGACTTACATTTGAAGGGCCCGAAAGTGAAAGGGGATATGGATGTGTCTGTGCCAAAACTAGAAGGTGATTTGAAAGGTCCCAAGGTGGATGTCTCCATGCCTGATGTTGATCTGGAATGTCCTGATGCAAAGTTGAAAGGCCCCAAGTTCAAGATGCCAGACATGCACTTCAAGACTCCCAAGATCTCTATGCCTGATGTGGACTTACATTTGAAGGGGCCAAAAGTGAAAGGAGATGTGGATGTGTCACTGCCCAAAGTGGAAGGTGAAATGAAAGTCCCAGATGTAGATATCAAAGGCCCCAAGGTGGGCATTGATGTCCCAGATGTGGACGTTCGTGGTCCCGACTGGCACCTGAAGATGCCCAAGATGAAAATGCCCAAGTTCAGCATGCCTGGCTTCAAAGGCGAGGGCCCTGAAGTGGATGTGAACCTGCCCAAGGCTGACATTGATGTGTCAGCACCCAAGGTGGACATTGAAGGCCCAGATGTGAGCCTTGAAGGGCCTGAAGGAAAGCTGAAGGGTCCCAAGTTCAAGATGCCAGAGATGAACATCAAGGCTCCCAAGATCTCCATGCCTGACATTGATTTCAACCTTAAGGGACCTAAAATCAAAGGAGATGCTGATATTTCTGCCCCAAGGTTGCAGGGAGAATTAAAAGCTCCTGAAGTGGATGTCAGGGGCCCTAATTTGGATGTTGACGTGCCAGAAATATCTGTGGAAGGCCCAGAAGGCAAGTGGAAAAGTCCCAAGTTCAAGATGCCAGATATGCACTTTAAAACTCCCAAAATCTCCATGCCTGATATTGATCTACACTTAAAGAGTCCCAAGATAAAAGGCGAGGTGGATGTAGATGTTCCGAAGTTAGAAGGAGACCTCAAAGGTCCACAGGTGGACATCAGTGGACCAGACATTGCAATTGAAGGTCCAGAAGGAAAATTGAAAGGTCCCAAATTCAAGATGCCAGAAATGAATATTAAAGCTCCGAAGATTTCAATGCCTGATATGGACTTACACTTGAAGGGGCCAAAAGTGAAGGGTGATGTGGATGTGTCTCTGCCCAAAGTAGAAGGAGAAATGAATGTACCAGATGTTGATATCAAAGGTCCGAAAGTTGAAGTAAAAGCTCCAGATGTTCATGGCCCAGACTGGCACCTGAAGATGCCCAAGATGAAAATGCCCAAGTTCAGCATGCCTGGCTTCAAAGGCGAGGGCCCTGAAGTGGATGTGAACCTGCCCAAGGCTGACATTGATGTGTCAGCACCCAAGGTGGACATTGAAGGCCCTGATGTGAGCCTTGAAGGGCCTGAAGGAAAGTTGAAGGGTCCCAAGTTCAAGATGCCTGATTTGAACATAAAAGCCCCTAAGATCTCCATGCCCGACATTGATCTTAACCTGAAGGGCCCCAAAGTGAAAGGTGATGTAGATGTGTCACTGCCCAAAGTGGAAGGTGAAATGAAAGTCCCAGATGTAGATATCAAAGGCCCCAAGGTGGGCATTGATGTCCCTGATGTGGACGTTCACGGCCCCGACTGGCACCTGAAGATGCCCAAAGTGAAGATGCCCAAGTTCAGCATGCCTGGCTTCAAAGGCGAGGGCCCTGAAGTGGATGTGAACCTGCCCAAGGCTGACATTGATGTGTCAGCACCCAAGGTGGACATTGAAGGCCCTGATGTGAGCCTTGAAGGGCCTGAAGGAAAGTTGAAGGGCCCCAAGTTCAAGATGCCAGAGATGAACATCAAGGCTCCTAAGATCTCCATGCCCGACATTGATCTTAACCTGAAGGGCCCCAAAGTGAAAGGTGATGTAGATGTGTCACTGCCCAAAGTGGAAGGTGAGCTTAAAGCTCCTGAAGTAGACATCAAAGGCCCCAAAGTGGACATTGATGCTCCAGATGTGGACGTTCATGGCCCCGACTGGCACCTGAAGATGCCCAAGATGAAAATGCCCAAGTTCAGCATGCCTGGCTTCAAAGGCGAGGGCCCTGAAGTGGATGTGAACCTGCCCAAGGCTGACATTGATGTGTCAGCACCCAAGGTGGACATTGAAGGCCCTGATGTGAGCCTTGAAGGGCCTGAAGGAAAGTTGAAGGGTCCCAAATTCAAGATGCCAGAGATGAACATCAAGGCTCCCAAGATCTCCATGCCAGATATTGATCTTAACCTTAAGGGCCCCAAACTGAAAGGGGACATTGATGTTTCAGGCCCAAATGTACAAGGTGATTTGAAAGGACCTAATATTGATATCAAAGGCCCCAAAATGGACATTGATGCTCCAGATATTGATATTCATAGTCCAGAGGGCAAATTAAAAGGTCCCAAAATGAAGATGCCTGAAATGCATGTCAACATGCCAAAAATTTCCATGCCGGAAATTGACTTGAATTTGAAAGGGTCAAAACTGAAGGGAGATGTTGATATCTCTGGTTCAAAATTGGAAGGTGATATCAAAGCTCCCAAATTGGATGCAAAGGTTCCAGAAGTGGACATTTCTGGCCCCAAGGTGAATATTGAAAGCAAGACAAAGAAATCACGTTTTAAGCTTCCCAAATTCAATTTCTCAGGTTCCAAAGTTCAGACACCTGAGTTGGATTTGAAAGTTAAAAAGCCAGAAATTGACGTTACAGGCCCAAAAGTTGATGTTAATGCTCCTGATGTTGAGGTCCAAGGAAAAGTGAAAGGATCCAAGTTTAAAATGCCTTTCTTGAGTATTTCATCTCCCAAAGTTTCTATGCCTGACGTGGAGCTAAATTTGAAAGGTCCTAAAGTCAAAGGAGATTTCGATGCTACAGGCCCAAATTTAGAAGGTGATTTTAAAGGTCCTACAGTGGATATCAAAGCACCAGAAGCCCATCTTAATGCACCTGATGTGGATGTGCATGGTCCAGATTGGAATGTGAAAATGCCAAAGATGAAAATGCCTAAGTTCAGTGTGCCTGCTTTAAAAGCAGAAGGACAAGAAGTAGCTGTGGATCTACCCAAAGGAGACATCAAGATGGAGGGTCCAAGAGTGAATATTGAGGGCCCAGAGGTCAAAGTAGAAGGTCCAGAAGGTGACTTAAAAGGTCCCAAGTTCAAGATGCCTGATTTGAACATCAAAGCCCCCAAGATCTCCATGCCTGACATTGATCTCAACTTGAAGGGCCCAAAAGTGAAAGGAGATGTGGATGTGTCACTGCCCAAAGTGGAAGGTGAGCTTAAAGCTCCTGAAGTAGACATCAAAGGCCCCAAAGTGGACATTGATGTCCCAGATGTGGACGTTCATGGCCCCGACTGGCACCTGAAGATGCCCAAAGTGAAGATGCCCAAGTTCAGCATGCCTGGCTTCAAAGGCGAGGGCCCTGAAGTGGATGTGAACCTGCCCAAGGCTGACATTGATGTGTCAGCACCCAAGGTGGACATTGAAGGCCCTGATGTGAGCCTTGAAGGGCCTGAAGGAAAGTTGAAGGGCCCCAAGTTCAAGATGCCTGACCTGCATCTCAAGGCTCCTAAGATTTCCATGCCAGATGTTGACTTGAATCTTAAGGGCCCCAAAGTGAAGGGTGATGTGGATGTGTCACTGCCCAAAGTGGAAGGTGAGCTTAAAGCTCCTGAAGTAGACATCAAAGGCCCCAAAGTGGACATTGATGCTCCAGATATGGATTTTGAAGTGCCAGAGGGCAAATTGAAAGGTCCTAAGTTTAAAATGCCTGACCTCCATCTCAAGGCTCCCAAGATCTCCATGCCAGATGTTGACCTGAATCTGAAAGGACCAAAAGTGAAAGGTGATGTGGATGTGTCTCTGCCCAAAGTGGAAGGTGAGCTTAAGGCTCCTGAAGTAGACATCAAAGGCCCCAAAGTGGACATTGATGTCCCAGATGTGGACGTTCATGGCCCAGACTGGCACCTGAAGATGCCCAAAGTGAAGATGCCCAAGTTCAGCATGCCTGGCTTCAAAGGCGAGGGCCCTGAAGTGGATGTGAACCTGCCCAAGGCTGACATTGATGTGTCAGCACCCAAGGTGGACATTGAAGGCCCTGATGTGAGCCTTGAAGGGCCTGAAGGAAAGTTGAAGGGTCCCAAGTTCAAGATGCCAGAGATGAACATCAAGGCTCCCAAGATCTCCATGCCCGACATTGATCTTAACCTGAAGGGCCCCAAAGTGAAAGGTGATGTAGATGTGTCACTGCCCAAAGTGGAAGGTGAAATGAAAGTCCCAGATGTAGATATCAAAGGCCCCAAAGTGGGCATTGACGCTCCAGATGTGGATGTTCATGGCCCCGACTGGCACCTGAAGATGCCCAAAGTGAAGATGCCCAAGTTCAGCATGCCTGGCTTCAAAGGCGAGGGCCCTGAAGTGGATGTGAACCTGCCCAAGGCTGACATTGATGTGTCAGCACCCAAGGTGGACATTGAAGGCCCTGATGTGAGCCTTGAAGGGCCTGAAGGAAAGTTGAAGGGTCCCAAGTTCAAGATGCCTGACCTGCATCTCAAGGCTCCCAAGATTTCCATGCCAGATGTTGACTTGAATCTGAAGGGCCCCAAAGTGAAAGGTGATGTAGATGTGTCACTGCCCAAAGTGGAAGGTGAGCTTAAGGCTCCTGAAGTAGACATCAAAGGCCCCAAAGTGGACATTGATGCTCCAGATGTGGATGTCCATGGCCCCGACTGGCACCTGAAGATGCCCAAAGTGAAGATGCCCAAGTTCAGCATGCCTGGCTTCAAAGGCGAGGGCCCTGAAGTGGATGTGAACCTGCCCAAGGCTGACATTGATGTGTCAGCACCCAAGGTGGACATTGAAGGCCCTGATGTGAGCCTTGAAGGGCCTGAAGGAAAGTTGAAGGGTCCCAAGTTCAAGATGCCTGACCTGCATCTCAAGGCTCCCAAGATCTCCATGCCAGATGTTGACTTGAATCTTAAGGGCCCCAAAGTGAAGGGTGATGTGGATGTGTCACTGCCCAAAGTGGAAGGTGAGCTTAAGGCTCCTGAAGTAGACATCAAAGGCCCCAAAGTGGACATTGATGCTCCAGATGTGGACGTTCATGGCCCAGACTGGCACCTGAAGATGCCCAAAGTGAAGATGCCCAAGTTCAGCATGCCTGGCTTCAAAGGCGAGGGCCCTGAAGTGGATGTGAACCTGCCCAAGGCTGACATTGATGTGTCAGCACCCAAGGTGGACATTGAAGGCCCTGATGTGAGCCTTGAAGGGCCTGAAGGAAAGTTGAAGGGTCCCAAGTTCAAGATGCCTGACCTGCATCTCAAGGCTCCTAAGATTTCCATGCCAGATGTTGACTTGAATCTGAAGGGCCCCAAAGTGAAGGGTGATGTGGATGTGTCACTACCCAAAGTGGAAGGTGAGCTTAAGGCTCCTGAAGTAGACATCAAAGGCCCCAAAGTGGACATTGATGCTCCAGATGTGGACGTTCATGGCCCCGACTGGCACCTGAAGATGCCCAAAGTGAAGATGCCCAAGTTCAGCATGCCTGGCTTCAAAGGCGAGGGCCCTGAAGTGGATGTGAACCTGCCCAAGGCTGACATTGATGTGTCAGCACCCAAGGTGGACATTGAAGGCCCAGATGTGAGCCTTGAAGGTCCAGAAGGAAAGTTGAAGGGTCCCAAGTTTAAGATGCCAGAGATGAACATCAAAGCCCCCAAAATCTCCATGCCTGACTTTGACTTAAATCTCAAAGGTCCAAAGGTGAAGGGAGATGTAGATGTTTCACTGCCTAAGGTAGAAGGTGACATAAAAGGGCCCGACGTGGACATTAATGTGCCTGAAGGGAAACTCAAAGGTCCTAAATTTAAGATGCCTGACGTTCAGTTTAAAACCCCACAAATTTCCATGGGTGACATTGATTTGAACTTGAAAGGACCTAAGGTGAAGGGAGATTTTGATCTTTCCACTCCTAAACTGGAAGGAGATATTCAAGGCCCCAATGTGGATGTGAAAGGTCCTAAGCTGGACATTGACACTCCTGACATCGACATTCATGGTCCAGAAGGGAAACTGAAGGGTCCTAAGTTTAAAATGCCTGACCTCCATCTCAAGGCTCCCAAGATCTCCATGCCAGATGTTGACCTCAATCTGAAGGCGCCCAAAGTGAAAGGTGATGTGGATGTGTCACTGCCCAAAGTGGAAGGTGAGCTTAAAGCTCCTGAAGTAGACATCAAAGGCCCCAAAGTGGACATTGATGTCCCAGATGTGGACGTTCATGGCCCCGACTGGCACCTGAAGATGCCCAAAGTGAAGATGCCCAAGTTCAGCATGCCTGGCTTCAAAGGCGAGGGCCCTGAAGTGGATGTGAACCTGCCCAAGGCTGACATTGATGTGTCAGCACCCAAGGTGGACATTGAAGGCCCTGATGTGAGCCTTGAAGGACCTGAAGGAAAGTTGAAGGGCCCCAAGTTCAAGATGCCAGAGATGAACATCAAGGCACCCAAGATCTCCATGCCTGACATTGATCTTAACCTGAAGGGCCCCAAAGTGAAAGGTGATGTAGATGTGTCTCTGCCCAAAGTGGAAGGTGAGCTTAAAGCTCCTGAAGTAGACATCAAAGGCCCCAAAGTGGACATTGATGTCCCAGATGTGGACGTTCATGGCCCCGACTGGCACCTGAAGATGCCCAAAGTGAAGATGCCCAAGTTCAGCATGCCTGGCTTCAAAGGTGAGGGCCCTGAAGTGGATGTGAACCTGCCCAAGGCTGACATTGATGTGTCAGCACCCAAGGTGGACATTGAAGGCCCTGATGTGAGCCTTGAAGGGCCTGAAGGAAAGTTGAAGGGTCCCAAGTTCAAGATGCCTGACCTGCATCTCAAGGCTCCTAAGATTTCCATGCCTGATGTTGACCTTGATTTAAAAGGTCCCAAAGCCAGAGGAGATTTTGATTTGTCTGTTCCTAAGGCTGATGTTGCTTTCAAGAGCCCTGATGTAGACCTGAAAGGAGTACGTCTCGATCTTGAAGGCCCTGATGCCAAAATCAGTGGTCCAGATTTGAAGATGCCATCCCTGGACATATCTGCACCTAAGGTGTCTGCTCCTGATGTGGATCTGCATCTCAAGGCACCTAAAATTGGGGTTTCTGGCCCCAAGTTGGAAGGTGGTGAACTGGACCTCAAGGGACCCAAGGTTGATCTAGAACCTCCAAGCTTGGATGTACACATGGAGAGCCCAGATATTAACATTGAGGGTCCAGATGTGAAAATTCCCAAGTTCAAGAAGCCCAAGTTTGGGTTTGGAGCAAAAAGTCCCAAAGGTGACATCAAGGGACCTTCCCTGGAATTGACTGTTCCTGAAGGAGAGCTGAATGTTGAGTCTCCTGAAATCAGTGTTGGTGGCAAGGGCAAGAAGAGTAAGTTTAAAATGCCTAAGATTCACATGAGTGGTCCTAAAATGAAGGCTAAAAAACAGGGCTTTGATTTGAATGTTCCTGGGGGTGAAATGGATGCCAGTCTGAAGGCTCCTGATGTTGATATCAGTGTCACAGGGCCAGATGCTGCACTCAAAGCTGATGTGAAATCTCCGAAGACCAAGAAGCCTATGTTTGGAAAAATGTACTTTCCAGATGTGGAGTTTGATATTAAATCATCCAGGTTTAAAGCTGAGGTCCCTATCGCCAGTCCCAAAATAGAGGGTGAAATCCAAGCACCTGACCTGGATATTAATTCACCAGAAGTTAATGTGGAAGGACCTGACATCAAGATGAAGGCTTCCAAGTTCAAGTTGCCTAGTGTGGATGTCTCAGGGTCAAAGCTAGTGGGTGACTTGAAAGGCCCTAGCGTGCAGGCCAGCTTGGATGCACCTGACATCAACATGAAGGGCCCAGAAGCTAAAATCAAAGCACCATCTTTTGGCATTTCTGCTCCTCAGGTCTCCATGCCTGATGTGGACATTAACTTGAAAGGACCAAAGCTCAAGGGTGATGTTCCCAGTGTGGGACTAGAAGGACCAGATGTAGATCTGCAAGGTCCAGAAGCAAAGATCAAATTCCCCAAGTTTTCGATGCCCAAGATCGGCATACCCGGTGTGAAAGTGGAGGGTGATGGTGCTCACGTCCATGCCCAGCTGCCCTCTTTTGAAGGAGGCTTGAGCGCACCAGATGTTAAACTTGAAGCACCTGATCTGTCTCTCAAGGGGCCAGAGGTAGACTTGCCTTCAGTGAACCTCTCCATGCCCAAAGTCTCTGGGCCTGACCTTGACCTGAACTTGAAAGGACCAAGTCTGAAGGGAGACCTGGATGCCTCTGTTCCCAGCATCAAGGTGCATGCCCCAGGGCTTGACCTCAAAGGTGTTGGAGGAAAGGTGAAGATGGAAGGAGAAGGAGTGAAAATGCCGGGGATTGATGCCACAACAGCATTTAATGTTGGGGCACCAGACGTGACACTGAAGGGACCAAGCCTGCAGGGAGATCTGGCTGTCTCTGGTGACATCAAGTGTCCTACAGTGTCTTTAGGTGCTGCCGATCTAAGTTTGGAGGCTTCGGAAGGTGGCATTAAGCTCCCCCAAATGAAGTTGCCCCAGTTTGGCATCTCCACTCCGGGATCGGACTTGGACATTAATATCAAGGGCCCACAAGCTTCTGGAGAGCTAAAGGGGCCAGGCATGGATGTGAACCTGAGAGGACCTCAGATCTCAGCACCGGATGTGGACTTGAGCTTGGGAGGACCAAAAGTGAAAGGCAGCCTCGGGGGCACTGGTGAGATCAGAGGCCCCTCCTTGGACCTTCAGATGCCTGGAATGAAATCGCCCAGCTGTGAGGTGGACCTGCCAGGTGGCAACCTGAAACTGCCAACTGGGCAGCTTTCTGGCCCTGAAATTAAAGGGGATCTGAAAGGTGCAGCTGTGGGTCTCCATGGAGCTGCCCCAGATGTCAGCGTGAAGGGGCCTTCCTTTAATGTGGCATCTCCAGAGGCCGGTTTTGGCGTCAGCTTGAAGGGCCCAAAAATCAAAGGGGGTGTAGATGTCTCAGGGCCTGTCAGTACCCCGGATGTCAGCCTGGGAGAAGGTCATCTGAGTGTCAAGGGTCCTGGAGGGGAGTTGAAGGGACCCCACATCTCCTCCGCTCTTGCGGGAGGCCTTCACTTGTCAGGACCGCAGGTGGCAGGAGGGGTGAAAGGAGGTCACATAAGTCCTGAGATGAGTGTGTCTGGGCCTCAAGGTCACATGGATGGTGCATCTGGAAAAGTCACATTCCCCAAGATGAAGATCCCCAAATTTGTCTTCTCTGGCCGTGAGCTGGTCGGCAGAGAGGTCGGGGTGGACATCAACTTCCCTAAAGTGGAGGCCAATGTTCAGGCCGGGGCAGGAGAAGGTGAGTGGGAAGAAGCCGAAGTCAAACTGAAGAAGTCCAAAATCAAAATGCCCAAGTTCAATTTTTCCAAACCTAAAGGAAAAGGCGGCGTCACTGGCTCACCAGAAGCATCCATTTCCGGGTCCAAAGGTGACCTGAAGAGCTCCAAGGCAAGCCTGGGCTCTCTGGAGGGAGAGGCAGAGGCCGAGTCACCCAAAGGCAAATTCTCCCTGTTTAAAAGCAAAAAGCCACGGCACCGATCAAATTCCTTCAGCGACGAAAGGGAGTTCTCTGCACCGTCCACTCCCACGGGGACTCTGGAATTTGAAGCCGGGGAAGTGTCACTGGAAGGTGGGAAAGCTAAAGGGAAACACGCCAAGCTCAAGTTTGGTACCTTTGGTGGATTGGGGTCAAAGAGCAAAGGTCATTATGAGGTGACTGGAAGTGATGATGAGGCAGGCAAGTTGCAGGGGAGTGGCGTGTCCTTGGCTTCCAAGAAATCCCGACTCTCCTCTTCCTCTAGCAATGACAGTGGGACTAAGGTTGGCATCCAACTTCCTGAGGTGGAGGTGTCAGTTTCCACAAAGAAAGAGTAGCAGGCCTCTGTGTGTGTACATATCTCTCTCTATAAAATGACATCTGCCTTGGTGTGTTTGTATAGAAATTCCAAGGAGAAGCATACCGGCAGCCTCAGCAAAAATGCAAAGAGTTTGCCTCTTGTGGCAGCCAGTGCTGCACAAAGCATCGCCTGCAGGCTCCTGTCACTCTGCAGATGGGTGGAACCCCACATTTGTGCAGCCCATGTGCAAAGTCAACAGTATTCGCCTTCAAATTTCAGTTTTTTTTTTCATTGAATGCTGAGAGCTCCTGTTTCTTAAGCAAGCTGTGTTTTTTTTGTGTGTGTGTGTGTGTTTATTACCCACATTTTTACTGATATTGTTAGTCTTGGGGTAATTACTTTTGGCGCTTTTGTTAGGGAGGAAGGGCTAGAAGGCTGCAGAGGGGTTTCGGTCTGTGTCTCAAGACTGGATCTACTCAAACAGCAAGCACCCCCAGGTGGTCCCAAGGAGGCAGCACCCAGCAGGCCGTGTGTGTCTGTGTTGTCTGACCTCTGACATGGCCTTCTCTCCCTGGGTAGTGGTTCCAGCCAGTTTGGTGGTCATGGTGAGAGGGAATTAGAAACTGTTCGCAAATTGTCCAACCGTTAGGTCAACAGGAGGGGCTTCCATTCTGTGTTTTGTAAGAAATGTTTTATTCATGACTACCATGTTCCAGCTCTTTCTTTTAACAAATACTCTCATGATTAAGACATTTTCTGGCACTTTAATGGAAAATTAATTGAGAATACAAGAGAACTGATGCTGTCCAAGGCAAATAAAGCTGTTTATTAATCTTGACGTTTCATATCATTGTGTCTGTGTGGGGGGGCTTCCTCCTGGGGGGCTGCACACCCTGTCCTCCGGGTTCGGACCGGATCTGCCCAGGAGCGTCCTGGTTACATCGATGACTTGTGGCACTCGCCCCTGTGGAGGCACTGGGAGGAATTCTTGGCTGAATCCCATTGCTGAGATGTTCAGGGAGGCTTGGCCTGCTGGTAGCTACGCCATCTTGACTGGGTGCAAGGCCACAGCTGGAACTGGAAGAGAGGCAGAAAGGACCGTAGCTCTGAGTCACTGGCCTGTCAGCTATTCCTGGCCATGACCTCCAGTTTCTAATTCCCTCAGGGTCTCAACTTCCTCTTTGCAGTAAAGGCCCTGATCCCATATTAGATATCTTTATGGTTCCATCTAGTTTATTTTATGGTGTGGAAAATCTCTTCCACTCAAAGTCCTCTTTTGATTTTGAGTTCTGTGGACAATACACGGTGAAGTAATTTTCTAGTGACTGGCTCATAATAATTGGTAATGGCTGGGCAAAGGGTGTTTCCTTCTTGTACAACAATTGGACCAGGGACCCATGGATTAGGCCACTGCCTACAATGCTAGCATTTCTCATGGGTGCTGGTTCAAAGTTCACCTTTTTCATTTGTAATCTAGCTCCTTGCTAATGCACCTGAGAAAGCAATGGAAGCTAGCCCAAGTATTTGAGCCTCTATAGCCCCGTGGGGTACCTGGAAGAAGCTTCTGGCTCCTGGTTTAGGCCTGACCCAGCCCTGGCTGTTGTAGCTGCTTGGGGGGAATGAAGCAGCGGGTGAAGGTCTCTCTCCTGCTCTACAACTCTGCCTTTCAGAAAGATTTTTAGAAAGATTTATTTATTTTTATTGGGAAGATATATTTCTAGAGAGGAGAGACAGAAAGATCTTCCATCCGCTGATTCACTCCCCAAGTGGCTGCAATGCCCAGAGCTGAACTGATCTGAAGCCAGGAGCCAGGAGCCTCCTCCAGGTCCCCTGGGCGGCCCAAGGCTTTGGGTCATCCTCGACTGCTTTCCCAGGCCACAAGTAGGGAGCTGGATAGGAAGCAGGGCTGTCGGGATCAGAACCGGCACCCACATGTGATCCTGGTGCATGCAAGGCAAGGATTCTAGGCACTAGGCTACTGTGCTGGGCCCCAGCATAACTTCTTTGAGCATAACTAATTTTCACAGGAGTGCGCTGAGAAACTGCCCGTGGGCGCAAGAGTCAGCTCAGTCATTTGGGTCACATCTGGGCTGGGTTCTCCTTCTCCAACATGCACGATGACACCAGAACTGTTTTGAATTTTGAATTTTTTTTCAGATTTTTGAATATTTTCATCTGCACAATGGGATGTTTTATGGATGGGACTCAAATGTAAACAAGGAAGTCATGGCTTAAATAATTCTATGCAGTATCTTCACTTTTGAAAAAATATATTTATTTGAAAGAGAATTTCCATGCTCTGTGGCTCGTTCCCCACATGCCTGCCATTGTTAGGGTTAGGCCAGGCTGAAGCCAGGAGCTGAGCCCTCAGCTCAGGTCTCCCACGCGGGAGGCAGGGACCCAACACTGGAGCCAATCCTAGCTGCCTGCCAGGGTGTGCACTGGCAGGAAGCACCTGCGACCTGAACCCAGGCACTCCAACGTGGGACATAAGCATCTTCTTTGCTAAAGCCACATTTCTGCTCCTGTATGATACCTTTTAATAATTTTGTGCATGGAGGTGGGCGTTGTGGCACTGTGGGGTAAGCCATCACTTGAGTCACGCACATCCCCTATTGGGAATTTAAATCCTGGCTCCTCCGCTTCTGGTCTGGCTTCTTGCTGTTGCATCCTGGAAGGCAGTGTCTTGGACCCCTGACACCCACATGGGAAACCCAGATGGAGCTCCTGGCCCGGCAGCACCCTGTGGCTAGCTACTGTCCTGTCCCTACTGATCTCTGAATCATTTTCTGCTGACCTTTTTGAGCTAGGATGTGAGACTTGTGGAAGACCAGGTTGCTCTCGACACTGGAGACAGCATGAACTTAGTACACCTATCAGGGTCAGTTTCTGGGCTCTCGGGACGAGATCTCGATGTTTAGGACCCTCTGGGGGTGTTAGGCAGGATGGAGAAGGAACTTGGCCACGGCACATTCCAGCTTGAAAACTTCTAAGCTGGCTTCTTTTCAGCTCAGGCCCAGACTGGAGGTAATGGTGTCAGAACAGGAGCTGTCCCTCTTGAAGCGACCATTGTCATAGAAAGGGCAGCACGGGCTGGCTGGAGTGACGTGCTGAGAACACTCGTCCGGCTGCTCTCATGACCACAATTCCACACCCCTACCTGCTGTTCCTCCTGCTGCCTTCTGGTTTGCCTCCCTCCGCCTTCCTTCTGGGGCCCGGATCAAATGACTGTCCCTCTGAGGTCCTGGCTCCTGGTTCGCTGTGACAGCAACATCGGGAGACTGGGAAGGGGCTGGACCCGGCTCGTCTGCCTGCTTCTTCAGAGTTCCTGCAAGGAGCCACGGCAGGAAATGCAGGCCCAAGGTCTGCCTTGTCCCGAGCAGGGGACTCTGGAGGGAACTCGGGGTGTGGCTGAGGGTGCGTCTGAAGGACTGAGCTATTTTGAAAGACTTTCCTTAAATCTGAACTCATTTCTATGTCTGTCAGACAAACTATCCCTTTCATCAACTTAGCCCACTTGCAGCCAGTTCAACCACGAGTACTTTTTTTGTTTCTCCTGAATTTACTTTTATTTATTCAGAAGAGCTATAGAGGGTGAGAATGACAGAGACCCAGAGAGATCTTTCACCTGCTGGCTCATTCCCTAAATGGCCGCAATGGCCGGGGCTGGGCCAGGCTGAAGCCAGGAGCCTGGAGCTTCCTCTGGGTCTCCCATGTGGCTGCTGGGGCCCAAGCATTTAGGCCATCTTCTGCAGCCTTCCCAGGTGTGTTGGTGGGGAGCTGGATGGAAGTGGAGCTGTCAGGACTCTAGTGTCCACATGGGTTGCAGGCATCACAGATGACAGCTTGACTTTTTATGTCACAATGCTGGCCCCACTAAGGGAGCTTTAGTAATAAATAGGACTGTTTGTGGTGGAGCTCGGAATAAGAGCAAAGGAGTCATCGTGTGGTGGTGAGAGCCCCCCCAGCCCGGGGACGGTGGAAGGCTGCTGTCAATCCTGGACCTGGAGGGGCACAGGGGAGAAATGGTATTCCAGAGGGCAGTGCAAACAGGGCATGGAGAAAAGACTGGGAGACAGTAGGCAGGAAGGACAGAGTCCTGGCCTTCCCCCCCTCCTGCCAGGGAGCCCAAATGTCGCAGGTGATCAGCCTCCTGGACCCCCTGCCCCCACCGCTGAGCAGGGCAGAGCAGTGCTGAGAAGGGGTCAGGAGTGAAGGCGGCAGACGGCAGCCAGGACAATCCCATTTTTCTCCGTCTGCTGTTTACTGTGCTTGGATTTTTTCTATTAATTCTTCTTCAAATAGCCACAGCTATTTGTGTTTAAGGTAGGATCCTAAAGTGAGATTACACTTAATACACAGACACGCACGTATACATGGCAAGGGCTGTGTTCAGCTCAACTCTTGCTGCAATGACCGTGTTATTGGTAACACTCTCCTTTGGATTTGCCCTCAGTCACCTGTGTGTTTTTTAAAAAAAATGTCCTTAAGGAATGAAATTTTGCTCTTGATTGTTACCAACAGCCAAAAAGCCTGGGTCAACACTCCACAGCTCCCAGACAGGACCCTGCTAGCAGGCCTGCACTGGTCTGGGAGTCTGGGATCAATTGTGACCTTGACAAATTAAGATCCCTTTTTGAACCTTGTTTTTTTTAAAGATTAGTTTTATTGGAAAGTCACATATATATAGAGAGGAGGAGAGACAGAGAGGAAGATCTTCCATCCAATGATTCACTTGCCAAGTGAGCAGAATGGCCGATGCTATGCCAATCCGAAGCCAGGAACTTCCTCCGGGTCTCCCACGCAGGTGCAGGGTCCCAAGGCTTTGGGCCGTCCTCGACTGCTTTCCCAGGCCACAGGCAGGGAGCTGGATGGGAAGTGGAGCTGCTGGGATTAGAACTGGCGCCCATACGGGATCCTGGCATGTTCAAGGCGAGGACTTTAGCTGCTAGGCCACGCCGCCAGGCCCATAAAAACTATTTATTTTAAAGAAGATTGATCTATTTGTCTACTTGGAAGACATAGCGCCAGAGAGAGGGAGAGATCTTTCATCCACTGATGCACTCAATGGCCAGAGCTGGGCTGGTCTTAAGCCAGGAGCCAGGAGCTTCCTCGGAGCCTCCTCTGTGGATGTAGGTAGGGCTTGAGCCACCCTCCACTGTCTTCCCAGTCCATAAACAGGGAGCTGGATCGTAACCAGAGTAGCTGAGACCACAAGGTGCCCATATAGACCTTATTTTTGTATCTGTCACATGTGTAAGGCATTGTCTGAGGCCCTGGTCAGTCTTAATAGCCTGAGACCTCAAAGAGTCAGAGTGGGTTACTTTGGTTGACCAGCTGTTTTAGGCCAAGTGCAAGGTGTGATTCGAATGCAGAGGCTGGGACGGTGTCTCAAACAGTGCAAGAGGCAGCTCTGTTGAAACACAGCTACGTCTCTGAAGGCCAGGCTCTTTCATCACACTGGAACGTGCATGTTACGCAATAACTATGCATGGATTCCAAAAAATGTTTTGCCCTGAGTTGCTTACTGTTTCCCATGAACTTTTTGCAATAGCCTCCAACATATCCCACTTCAGAGTCACTTCTGAGCTCGCTGGCGGCTGAGACATGAAAATATCATCTGGGAGACACGACTAAATCTGTCAATGGAAGTTTTGTAAGTGAGTTTATTTTGAAGTCACACCTACCTAGAAGTCTCAGGAACAGCATGATGAATTTCCTTTTTCTTTCTTTGCTTTTTAAGAAAATTTGTTTTTATCTTAAAGACAAGATTACAGAGAGGGAGACAGAGAGAAAGAAGGAGAGGAAGAGAGATTTCCCATTGCTGGTTTAATGGCTGCAGTAGCTGGGGCTGGGCCACTTAGAAATCAGGAGTCTGGCACTCTGTCCAGGTCTCCCAATGTGGGTGCAGGAGCCCCTGGAGTTGGCCATCTTCTGCTGATTTCCCAGGTGTGTTAGCAGGGCACCAGATGGGAAGTAAGGTTGTGGGGATTTAAACCAGCACTTCCATAGGATATGGGTGGTGCAGGTGTTGCCTAACCCACTGTGTTACAACCCCAACCCCCACACGAATTACATGAATTACAACGAATTTTCAGACCTCTTTCTGTTCAACATTCTGATTGCTTCATTTTCTAAATTCTTGTTGGTTGAATTTTCAGTCTTATTGGAAAAGATAGAGAACTCTTCCATCCAGTGGTTTATACCCTACATCCTGGCAACATCTAGGGCTGGGCTAGGTTGAAGCCAGGAGCCTGGAACTCCACTGGGATCTCTCTCATGGGGGTGACAGGGACCATCCCCTCAGAATTACTTGTTAGCATTGACTTTGCTTATTAAAGTCTATCTGCTCTTAGATCTCAGATAGGTACGGCGTAATGCGCAGTATTTCTGTTGGGCCTTTGGGAGTCAGCTGCAGCCCTCATGACGCTTTATTCCTGAATACTTTAGCTTATGTGTGACATTCTCCTACATGCATCCAGGAAGTTCCACACTGGCATGTGAGCCCACACGCAATTCATACTACAATGTCACCAGTCACTGTCATCACTCGCCGCTCGGCAGTCCCTCTTGCCCGTGCAGGCTTCTGTCCTCTGTGACCACACACGCCACTCGGCTGTCTTGGTCTCTGCTGTCCTTTGATCTGGAATAGTTCGACAGCTCTTGGCTTGTGGATCGTGACGTTGATACCCGGGAAGTGAAGGGAGCCAGTTGTTTTTCCAGAAGCATCTCAGCGCTGGGATCAGGCTATGCATTCGGGGAGGGCGCAGGGAAACCGCAGCGGGAAGACTGGGTTTTCTGAAGCTTCTTCCTTGGAAGTGGAAGGAGAAGGGCAGGAGCATTCATTCAGACTTCTCGGTGGAGTGGGTGACGGCTGAGCTTCTGCACCGCGACCCTGCCAGGTTTTCTCACCGGAATGGACAGATCCCACTTGAATTTTCCAGCGCGAAGCCTGAGTTTGGGCAAGTTATTTCACAAGCGCACTTGCAAGGACCGCTGGCATGCTTGGCCTTGGCAGGCGCCTGGGCGGAGGGCTTGAAACCGGGCTCTGGCGCTGGGCTCCGTGGCACAGAGAAGCTCTCTGTCTATGCTCATGAGGACAAAGAATTCCGTGCAGGAATGCTTGCCGCAGGGCCTGGAATGTTGTGTACTGTTTACCCGTTTCTGCACAGCCTCAAGTGCTTCCTAACACTGAGTGCTCCCAGTAGGAGCAGGGCTGGCTGCAGGGCCTGTGCGGGGAGCGTTCAGCTCGGAAGGCACTTTTGCTTGCCTCTCAGTGCCTTGGCATCTTCCACTTCAGTGTGAGGTCTGGTTTGAACCACTTAGCAGCAGCAGGACCAAGGGTGGGATAGGGCTGCTGGGAAGGGACCGACTTTGGCTCCGTGGTGTTCCAGTCTGCTGCATGCTTTCTCTCTGGAGATTGCCTTCCGGCTTCTCAGCTCTGCTCCAGCAGGAAGGCAGTGTGGCCCCATTCTACAGACCAGAAAGCTGAGGCTGGGAACAGAAGACTGGCTCTTCTTGTCCCAGTGAGTGAGGCAGAGATGGCTCCCGTTTGCTTTCACCTCCAGAAAGAAAACAGACATTTCCTTTCCGCGGTGTTATTGCTGCTGTCCTCCTAGAAGATCGTTAGGAAAAGGGACATGTTTTGTGACTCATGTTATCACTAAAGCAGATTCTTTTTTTTTTTTTTTTTTTAGATTTATTTTGCTTTTGAAAGGCAGAATTACACAGAAAGAAGACCACAATGGCCAGTTCAAAGTGAGGAGCTTCTGTTGGGTCTCCCAGATGGGTGCAGGGACCCAAGCTCGTGGGCCATCTTCCTTCCCAGGTGCATGGATTAGCAGGAAGCTGGATCAGAAGTAGAGCAGCAGGCACTGCCACGGGATGCTGGCACCACAGGTGTAGGTTTAGCGTGCTAAGCCATGGCACGGTCCCTGGGAACAGTCATTACACAGTGCCTCTGCCCAAAGCTTATTCTGTCTGTTAAGGGGATGACATTAACAACAATTAGCTGCTGGCTCTGCTACTTCAGGGCAAGCTATCAACTCCTCAGTGCCCGGGCTTCCTTGGCTGCGGAGGAGGGCTGAGATGGCACCTCTCACACAGCATTCTCATGAGGATGGTGTAATGAACTTGCAAGATTTGCTCAGCATGGGGTGGATCCTGTAAGCGCCAAGGATTCTTGAGCGCCTGTGTGTTAACTTTGGGTTTTGCAATATGTGCTTATTTTATATGCTTGAGCTCTTCTTGGGAGGGGAGCATTATTTTTCCTCAACTCAAACACAAGAAACAAGGCTCAGAGAGGTTGGGCAGCTTGTGTAGGGTCACACAGCATTCACGCCCCAGCAGGAGGCAGTGCCGGAAGGTGGAAGGGTGGTGGGGGCGATGTGTGGGAACTCCAGAGAGTGGCGGTGGGATGCATGGAGTCCAGAGACTCCAGATGTAGAGCAGACAGCTTCCAGCTCCAGCTCTGCAAGGGAACTCCAGGTTCCTGACGCCTGTTGGCCGGCTGCGGAAGGAGCAGGTGGGCTTCAGGTTCCAGCAGAGGGAAAGTTTTGGTTGTTGCAGCTCTTCCAGGGGCCTCCCGCCCAGTTCTACCCCACCCCCGCCCTCCCGGGTCGCCTCTCTTCCCCGAAGATAAACAAGGGGTAAATTACAATCAAATGTGCTTGATACACAGCCCCACCCACTAGTGTCCGCCCACAAGGCCGGGGCAGCGCCCTGCGAGGACGCAGCGGGTTGAGTCCTCTGGCTGGGCGAGGGTCTGGAACCACAAGGGGCCTCAAATACAGCCGTTCCCCTCGCCTCTCTCCACCAGTGGGCCCCGATGGCTCTGAGCCGGGCTGGAGGGGCCGCCGGCAGCCGGGCAAGGGGTGCGGGACCTCGGCTTCCTGGGCGGGGCGGAGCCGCTCCAGGGAGAAGTCGGGCTTGGCCCGGTCCTAGGCGCAGGAGAGAAGATCGGGGCGTGGAGGGAGCAGGATGGCGCCCAAGGGAGCCCTGGGAGGGGCGTTCGCCCGGCTTCCCGTCTCTCGGGTGTCTTTCTCCACTCGGCTTCACACTCGGGGTACACTCGGGGTGCAACCGCGCGCCTGCCACGCCCTCCGGGGCCAGAACCGGGTGACGCCCTCGGCCCTGGCCGCTTGCTCCCGGGAGCCGCAGCTCTGTCGCCCTTCATCGCCGCGCCCTGCCCGGCCTATTGGCCAGTTCCCAGGCCGCACCCCGAGAAAACCGGGCCAGGCCGAGCGTCCTCCACCGAGGGCGGAGGGTGGGGTGGCTGGGAGCCCCGAGCCTTGCTAGGTATCGCGTGGGGGGAGGGGGCTGGCCTTGATAGGTGGGCGGGTGGAGGGAAACGGGGTTAGAGGGGGCCGAGTTCACACAAGACAGCAAGCTTTTTCCTTTCTTCAGACTTTGCTGCAGTGTCAGCCTTGAACCCCGACTGGTGTCTATTTCAGGCCAGCACAGGGTGGTGTTCTGGGACCCAGCCTGTTGAGGCTCCGCACGTCTGACCCCCCTGCCCCCTTGGGGCAGGTTTTTTTTGACAACCTTAGGCGTTTCCAGGTGTGTCTGGGTCTCTGCCACCTGGGCCTGTGGGCTGTGTGTGCTGCAGGCCCCGGGCGCAGTGGGGAGGGCTGTAGCAGGAGCGGGCAGGGGAGGGCAATGACGGGGCATTTTCTGTTTCTAAGGCTGCGAGTTTGGCTCCCGACTTGAATTTCGAGTGGGCCCTTCGGGCAGATAGGAAAAATCAGGTGCCGCCGGTGCGGATTGTCTGAATTCCTAGAAAATAAATTCTAGGAATTTAGCTGTCAGCAGGAGGGAGGAGTGCCAGGTAGGAAAAGCTGGGGCTGCAGCTGGAGGCCTGCCAGGAAGGGGCTGCCTGCAACTGCTCTCCGAAACTGTGTTTTTGCATCACTTTCTTGTTTCTTGGATTATATCTAGGAGATAAAGGAAAGCTCTCAGCCAAGGACATTTTTTTTTCTTCCCTTATTTTATTATTATTCTTTTAAACTGGGCTGCAGTGCTCTAATGAAGGAAAAGCACTCCTCCTAAAATGCTGTTTGTGGTGACCGCTTTGTCTGAAGTCATTCTCGTCTCTAAAAATGGGAAATTACTCATTACTGTTTATCAGAAGGAAAGAAACGCCTTGGATCAATGGGCATCCTGCCCGCGTGGCATTTGTAGCAGCCCAGGTGGTAAGCCTGCCCACATTCCCCCGGGTGAGCACCGGTTTCCAGAGGGGAGAGAGCTGGTCCTGGCAGGTGCTCCCTGCATGTTCTTGTTATGTAATCCTGGCAAGGCTACAGGAGGTGTGGCAGGTGGCAGAAATCAGTACAAAAAACCAAAAAACCCAAACAAACCACAAACCGTGTCTGAATCCCTCCTCCTGCTCGCCCTAGTCTGCAGGTGTTGTGTTGTGGGAGGGTTTGTGTGTGAGGAGTAAGGAGACTTAAAAGTTGCCCATGTTATTAAGGAAGCTTGCACTACTGCATGGTGTCACAGGGCAGCGAAGGTCAAGGTCATGGGGGTGGCCCTGAGTGCAGGGTCGTGGCCCAGGCCTGGGGGGTACCCGCTGCACCCACCTCTGGACTCTGCATGGTGGGCCTCTGCAGCCTCATCCCCGCCCGCGGACTCCCCAGCCACACTGAGCTCAGCACTCCTCAGGCAGCGGCTCTCTTCCTGCTCATGGCATTCAGGGCCAGCATCTTTCTTTGGATTTCTTTGCAGGGAGCGTTTCCTCCTGAAAGCCCTCCTTGCTTGCTTCCCACACCTTCCCCAGGTATATCATGGGCTCTTGGTGCTTTGCGCTTTCCCTGTTCAGTACTGTTCCTGTTAAGCCTTCAGTCCTCAATGGCTTCTCAGCCTGCCTGGCCCGCTGCCCCCTCCGTCAGACCATCTGCTTGGGGTGGGAAGAAACGCAGTTTGCGTGTCCCAGTTAGCTCTTCAGCACAGGGCCTGGCACCTGGCATCTGGCAGACGCTCAGGAAACCACCAGATTCCTTTTTCACAACTATTCAAAAATATTTCTTTATTTATTTTTGTTTGAAAAGCAGAGTTAGGGAGAGGGAGAGAAATACACACATACAGAGGGGTGGGGGAGAAGAGAGAGAGAGAGAGAGAGAGAGAGAGAGAGAGAGAGAGAGAAATATCTTCTCTGGTTCATTCCGCAAATGGCCGCAATCGCCAAGGCTGGGCCTGGCTGAAGCTGAGAGCCAGGAATTCCATCTGCATCTCCCATGTGGGTGGCAGGGGCCCAGGCACTTGGCCTTTCTTCTGCTGCTTTCCCAGGCACAGCAGCAGGAAGCTGGATCAGAAGTGGAGCTGCTAGGACTCGAACTGGCATTCGTATAGGCCTCACAGCTGCAGGCTGTGGCTTAAGCTGCTGTGCCACAACCCCTGCCCTCTTGCAGCTTTATACACTTCTCTTGGCACCGTGTGTGCCCCAAACAAACACAACTCAAAGCTAAAAGAGGAAAGGCACCTAAACAAGCTCTGACCTGATTCTCTAATAACTTACTGCTCAAGTTTTGCACACTGGCTGCTTTCCCGGCGCCAGGGACAGGTCTGTCTTCAGCTACATGTGGGTAGAAAGTTTGCAGTTGCAAATCCTTCAAATCCACACCGGAGTGGCACTCAGGGTTGCACCGGTCGGGTGGAAAACGTGGCCCAAAGCTTGGCGGCCCTGGAGGTGGGCCCAGCCGTGGGCGAAGGAGGTGCGGAAGGCTGGTGTGTGTGTGTGTGTGTGTGTGTGTGTGTGGCGGGGGAGAAGCAGGGCGCCCCAGATCTATTTACCTGGCCCAAGGCGTGTGGTTGACCTCTGAGCCTCATGGCTTAGGTCTAGGCAGTGTGGTTTTGGTGATCCTATTCTCTGTTGACGATTTTTTGTTTTTGTTGTTTTAGAAAGTGCACCTTTCTGAAGGTTCCGTCTGGCTTTGCCTCTTCACGCAGTTAAGCAGCCAGGGCGCCTTCATTTACTCCCCCTCCCCCTCCCTCCCTAGTGAATGTTTGGGCCAGGAAACTCAAGCCCGAACTGAGAGCTGTGTTTTCCACCTAAAGCAAAGTGGGACTGGCTTCCTCTTTTTGAAATAAATGATTTATTTTCCTTTATTTAAAAATTAGATTTACAGAGAGGAGAAAGAGGGATAGAGAGAGAGAGATCTATTTGCTAGTTTACCCCCAAAATGGCTGCAACAGCCAGAGCGGAGTCAATCTGAAGTCAAGGAGCCAGGAGCCTCTTCTGGGTCTCCCACATGGGCACGCAGGGTCCCAAGGACTTGGGCCACCCTCTGCTGCTTTCCCAGGCCCCTTATCAGGGAAGTGGATCAGAAGTGGAACAGCTGGGACTAGAATTAGCACCCTTATGGGACACCAGCACCTCAGGTGAGGGTCAGCTTGCTATCCTACTGCATCAGTCCCCTGGTTCTCAGTCTTCATTGCAGTTACACAATCCCTGCCCTCCTGTTCCCTCGGACTGGCAGACCCCATTCCTGCCGCCAGTGCTGAAGGCTGTGCAGTGAGACGAAGCCCTGTGTACGTGCTGGGAGGCTGCGGCAGTGTGTCAGTGCTCATGCCCACCCTGGGATTTAGCAAGTGGCTTCTCTTTCTCAGTTTTTTTTGGGGCGGGGGGCTGGGAAGTCCTTCTAGAAAATAAGAGTTGGAAGTGCTGAGACCAGCAGTCTACTGGTGGGTAGGGATCCAGGGTTGAGTGTGTTAACGTGACGTGGTACATTGGTGCAATGCCCCCCTCCAGCTGTCGAAAGAAACAGGCTGACATCTGCTTGTCCTAGGAAGTGCCTTGCCTAACCCCACGTCGGCTTGTTTCAGCCTTGGCTGCTGCTGCTGCTGCTTGCTCGGCCACAGCCGACAAAGGCTTCCCAGCCGAAAGGGAGATGAGAAGATTACATGCTGTGTGAGTGAACGGGTGAGTCACAAAGCTCCAGCTCAACGTGGAAATGACATCGAGGTGGTTCTTCAGCCTGGCTTGGCAGTTGGAGCCCTCTTGTGTGTTACACATGCGGGGAGAGTCCCAGCAGCTAAGCACGCTCCAGGCGTCCCACACCAGGCCCTCTGAGACCACGTAAACAGGTTCAAACCTGACGGGTTGTGTACAAAGCCGGGACTCTCCTCACCAATCGCAGTCCTGTAGCCTTCCAGCGGGCCCAGTAAACTAGAGATGCAGGGAATCTGGCTGGACCGGGCTCAGGGTGGGGCGGCCAGGTGCCTGGAAGGTGCGTTTTGAGTCAGGAAAGGCAGCTCCAGCCTGAAATAGCTCCCTTACTGGCTTGTCAAGGATGTTTGCGATTTCACTGGTTCTGAGTCATTCCTTTGTCTTTGCCACGGTCCTCTCCTTGCTTTCCTTTGTGAATGTAGCTTGATCTGGGACCCGGGGTTCCCTGAACCCTCCCACTATAAGTCACAAGTCTACAATGAGGCTCTGTTTCACCTCCTAGGTGAGTCACAGACTCAGTCTGAGCCTCTCAGGAGTCTTCTCACCTACCCTGCTCTCTGTTCTATCCAGCTAAAGCAGGAAGCTGAGCTGCAAGGCAGGCGATCTGGCTTGGGGAGCAGAAGAACAAAGGAAGGGAAAGGACCAGCAGGGACTCGCACTTGCCACACCTTGGTCTGGCGCTCTCCTGTTCTGACCAAGGGGGCCTTGGGTTCCTTTCTGTTTATTCACACCTCCTCCCACCGCCCTCTTACCTTTTGCTGTCTATTCTGCGTCCTACCTTTGCACTTTCCACCAGCATCATTCTAGGTGACCCCTAAGGCAAGGAAGCTCTCCCTGGTAACCTGTAGGAGCCAGGAGTTGCTAAGCAAGGGCAGTGCTCGGCCACAGCCTTTCCTTTGCTTCTTGGTTCCTGCAGGGAGTCGAGGAGTGGTGAGGGATCTGCACAGCTGTGGCTGTGTCTGTGTATGCCGTGGAAAGGAGTGGACCTGAGAGTGCTCAGTGAGGGCCGGGCACCTGCTGGGGGCCTGCCCAAAGCCTTGATCCCTCCATCCTTTTCTACTTATTAGACCTGGGCGAATTGGCCGGAGCCCCTTGATGTCAAGCCCTTGCTTCCTGGCATATTTTATTTCCCTGTGCACAAGCTCTACCGGCAAATGAGCTCCATGAAGGCGGGGATTTAGAAGTACAGCCTGGCTGTAGATAGTTTTTGCATGTACCTCCTCCCGTGAAAACTAATAAAGAACTTTTCAACCCTGAGGAACACTTGATTAGGCACGTGGCTAGCTTTAGAATATTCTGTTTTTGAGAGGTGGCTATATAGCACTCACGTTTATTAGTTTACTCCCCAGATGCCTCCAATGACAGACTGGGCCAGGCTGAACCTGGACCCTGGGAACAAAATCCATGTAGCTCATGTGAATGGCAGGGCCCAGTCACTCGGCTCACATTAACAGGAAGCTGCAGGGTGGCAGGCATTTCATCCGGGCACTCTGCTATGCCATGTGCACATCCACAGAGTCTTAACCATGAGGCTAAACAAATGCCCCCACCAAAAGATTTAAATAAAAAATGATTGGGGTTGGGTTTGTGGTGCAGTGGGTTAGGGGTGATCATACCAGAGGAAGTTCAAGTCCCACCTGCTCTGCTTTGGATCCAGCTCCCTGTTGATGCGCCTGGGAAAGTAACAAGATGGCCCAAGTGTTTGGTTCCCGGCTACCCATGTGGGAGAACGTAATCCTTTTTTAAAAAGTTTATTTATTTCATAGTCATAGTTATGATGGGGAGGGGAGGGAGAAGCACTCAGCCATTGTTGGTTCATTTCCCAAATGCCTGTGATGTTTGGGGGTGGGCCATTCTGAAGCCTGGGGCTCCGAACCCAGTCTGGCTGGAGCCATTGCCTGCTGCTTCCCGAGGAACTGGAACTGGCGGTGGAGTGAGGACTTGAACCCAGGAACTCAGATGCAAGATGTGAGCATGGCAAGTAGTGTGATTTATTTATTTATCCAAAAAAAATTTTTTTATTGGAAAATCAGATATACAGAAAGGAAAATCTTCCATCCGTTGATTCATTCTCCAACCGGCTGCAATGGCTGCAGCTGCACCAATCCAAAGCCAGAAGCCAGGAGCCAGGATCCAGGAGCTTCTTCTAGGTTTCCCACATGGGTACAGGGTCCCAAGGCCTTGGGCCATCCTTGACTATTTTCCCAGGCCACAAGCAAGGAGCTGGATGGAAAGCAGGGTTGCCGGGATACAAACTGGCACCCCTATGGGATCCTGGCGAGTGTTAAGTCGAGGACTTTAGCTGCTAGGCTACTGCGCTGGGCTCACCAAGTAGTGTCTTAAGTGCTGTGTCAAATGTCTGTCTGTGCTTTGGTTTGTTTCTTTATCCAGTCTGACTTTTAGTAATATTTCTGTTATTTCGCTCTATCCTGGTTGCAACTTACACCAACTGTACACTGGTGGTTAAACTACATATTTAGCTAAGGACCACTCTGTTTTTTTTTAGGAAAGCTTTTTTTTTCTAAAGATTTATTTATTTTTATTTGAAAAACAGAGTGACAGAGAGGGAGACAGAGAGGGAGAGATCTTCCATCCACTGGTTCATTCCCCAAGTGGCTGCAATGACTGGACCTGGACTTGTCTTAAACCAGGAGCTTAAACCAGGAGCAGAGGCTCAAGGAGCTGAGCCATCCTCCACTGCTTTCCCAGAACATTGGCATGGAGCTGGATCAGGAATGGAGCTGCCAGGACACTGATACCCATGCCCATCGGGTTGCTGGTGCTGCAGAAAGAGGTTCCAGCCACGAAGGGTAACTTTCCATCTCGACTATACTGGCAACCTGGATTTAGATGTTTCCCCTGCTTTCCTATGTTGCAATATGTGCTGTGAGACATCAGTGCAGGGCCGGAAGTGGGTTTGTGGACTGGACAGTCTGGGTTCCAATCCCAGCTCTCCCGCTGCACAAGGTGTACAATCTTGAGCATGTTACTTCTGCTACCCATGCCTCGGCTGCCTCTTCTGTAAAGTGGGGTGATAATATTATGCAGCTCCAGAGCTGCCGTGAGGAGCCATGAGGGAAGACTCCTGGCCATGTGACAAATGCTGGTGTTGGTCATCATTTGGTTGCTGTTTTTGGGAGAAAAAAAAAGATGCGTTTCTTCTTTGTTTTTTGTTTTGGACTTCATCTAAATTTCATATTGTGGCTAAACACTAAGCTAATTGAAAGGAAGAGTCATCACATGCCTAATGACTCAGCCAAATGCTTTCTGGGAAAGGAGGGACTGTTTCTTGAGCAGCAGTTCATAACTGATTCACTTACTGAGTGTTTGAAAATGTATGGAATGGGGCTGGGGCTTTGGCACAGCAAGTGCAGCTGCCGCTGAGCGTCAGGCACCCCATGCCGTTCTGCTTCTCATCCAGCTCGCTGCAGAGGCACCTGGGAACGCAGAGGAGGATGGCTCAAGCAAATGGCTCTCTGTCATACATGTGGGAGACTTGGATGGAGTTCCAGGCTCCTGGCTTCAGTCTGGCCCAGTTAGCCCTGGCTCTTGCCAGAATTTGGGGAACGAACAAACACATGGAAAAAAAAATCTCTTTCTGTTTCTGCCCCCATTCTCTTAAAGAGATCTTTTAAAAAAAATCTGTGGATAAAGAAGAGTCAGTGGGATGGTACTAACCCAGTTCCCAAGAGCCTTCCATGTTTCATGCCATTGGCTATTAGCAGCAGATACCATTCAGTTGAAAACCTATTTTGTCTTTCGTTTATTCGTTTCTCTCTCTAACATACAAACAATTCCAGAATGCCGGCATACTGTGCTAGGCTTGGGGAAGCAGAGAAAAAAAAATTCTATTGTTTCAGCTTCAAAGGAAGTCCCTAGAGAAGTTTGTGGGTTAGAAGTTTGTGGTGGGGAAAAATCGTCCGCCTTTGAGAGCTTGGTATGGGAAAAATAAGAAGGAATTAGGAAGAAGGAAACACACCCGTTTAAACGTGGGGATTCTGGCTCCTGTTCACTGATGTCCAAGTTACTTTCTGCTGAGGAAGAGGATGTCTCGGGGTGACGTTCAGCTGGAGCCCCCATGCAGCGGAAGGACCCAGCGAGGCTGTTGACTGGCTGCAGTCCTGCTCTCTGGGGGGTTGCCAGACTTAGTCCTGCCATTATCCAGGGAATCTTGTGGCCAAATAAACTTCCTAATGAGAACCCCCCTTGAGCCCCCATGGTGCGAACCCCAGGGTGGGAGATCGCCAGGGACCACTCACCCAACTCTCTTTTTGTAAAAAGATTTGTTTATTTATTTTTGGATGATTTTTACATAGTTAATTAGGGTGATAAGGGCCAAGGGTTACAGGAAGGTGGGTGAGACCATTATTTCCACATTTTCTTTTTTTCTTCCTGTATCTGGGGGGGAGACAAGGGGAGAAGCCACACTCAGCCTCCTAAACTCCTCTGTATCCTGGGATGGGGGACAGTCATCTGACACTATCCCAGGGTCTCCGATGTGGGGCATGCTCAAGAGGCTCTGATATTACTGATATTATCGGCAGTTCTGAATTACTGCCGATCTCGCCACTCCAAGCACGATGAAATCTCTCCAGCATCCACTGGCTGACATAGTCCAGCTTAGCGTCTCTGTTTGCCCAGGAGACACACTGCCAACACTTGGCTGGGGTAGATGATCAATTTGTTCTGTCCTCCATCCTCTGTTGTGGTACGATGTCCTCTGCAGGCTCCGATGCACCGCCACACCCTCCATGTGCACCTGGATATGCTGTCCACTGCTCTGTCTAAGCCACTGAGCAGGACCATGGAACCTGCAATTCTCTCCATGGCTGGGGTTCTGAGTCCAGCAGTTTAGCTGGGGAGATCCCCAAAGAAATTTCATCAATTAGATCCAAGACCCAATTCTTGTGTGTGCTTGCCAGGACAGGGTCTGACACAGTCTGTCGCCCCAATCAGTTTATGCACATGCTGGTGGTTACAATTGCTGGGTCAGCTCTGTCTTTTTTTTTTTTTTTAATCAATTTTTTTTAATCCATTTTTATTGGAAAGTCAGATATATAGAGAAGAGAGACAGAGAGGAAGATCCTCTATCCGCTGATTCTATCCCCAAGTGACTGCAACTGCCAGAGCTGAGCTGATCCAAAGCCAAGAGCCCAGGTCTCCCACGTGGGTGCAGGGTCCCAAGGCTTTGGGCCATCCTCGACTGCTTTTCCAGGCCACAAGCAGGGAGCTGGATGGGAAGCGGGGCTGCTGACATTAGAACTGGAGTCCATATGGGATCCTGGTGCATGCAAGGAGAGGACTTTAGCTGCTAGGCTACTGTGCCAGGCCCTAGCTCTTCTACGGAAACCAATGGGTGCTGCAGCCCAGCCACATCCTGCCCATCACACATACGGCCCTCATGCAAACCAGTGAGAACTCCAGCCTAGTCAAAGTGACCCGCAATAACCCCCACTAGATCCTCCCCCTGCCCTGGTTCTCATGCTTGCCTGTATGTGGAG